AAAGTGAAGATTTTGTTGGCCGACCTGCACGTTTAAGTAGGCGTGTTGCATCGCGCACGGCGCCACTGCGAGTAATTCAGAGAACCTACTTGGCCATTAGGGCCATTGTTGCAGAATTAGATTAGGTGTGGTGTCTGAGGTCATAGGCTTAAGGTGTGTGCTGGTGGATGTGCATATTATTCATCTCACGAATTGTTTCTGATGTATATGCATGTCAAAATATTGTGAGCATGTATATGAACATACAATACATTGTGTGTTTTACTGTCATACCATGTCATATCATTTCACAAATGTGTTCCTAAATTACTAGCTCATTGCAATAGTTCATCATATCATATCATATAATAGGATTCCAAACTGCACTGTGCCAAGTCATATTCCATCATAACATATCAAATCATTCCATATCATATCACATTACATCATATCATACCACATCACATCATATATCATATATCATATATCATATATCATATAACATATAACATATATCATATCATATATCATATATCATATATCATATATCATATCATATCATATCATAAATCATATCGTATATACATATACCCCATGACAGATCTCAGGGCAGACAAGAAGCTGGCCCAAACGGGCGCCCAGCATGTAGAGCTCGAGGTTGAGCCACCGTTGGCGGCAGAAATGGAATTGGAGATGGGAAGGGGTGGATTCTAACATAAAGGTGATCATTTACATATGTATACCTATGGTTTAATAACTATATGTTGATGTTTACTTGGCAATGCCATTATCAAAACCAGGATTTTCGACCCATCATTGGTCAAAACCAACATTTTCCTGGTCACCATCTTGCAACCCATTTTTTTCAGGGTTTCGGTTGCTCCTGGTATATATATATATATATATGTATGTATGAATATATTGAAAGTGAGTAATTTTATTCAATGATTTCATTTATATTCATTTATATCTCGATGAATATTCATATATATATATATGCATATTATTGATGGTTAATTCCCGGAAATTGCACTGAATAGATAGATCGATAGAATTCGATAGATATATCTACGGTCTATGTAAATGGGGAAAACGTAACCCGGAGGCCACTTCCTACTTCGAACCGACCAGCCCGGATTCGCCCGGAACCTGCTCGTCCTCCGAAGCTGACCTTGTTTCATGACGGCGGCAGCGCTGACAATCTATGCGCATAGTCGGCATAGTCCATACACGTTTGAATGTATCCATAATCATCATAATCTATACATCTATGCGCACAACCCATGCATAACCCATCGCCAGCTGAAATGTATAGATACTGTGGATATGAGTACATGATTAACATTGAATAACTATATCCCCAAGATCTTGGTGGGTATCCGAGGGCGTCAGGCCTGAGATGCCTCAGATTTCCATGGTAAAAGATCAAAATCAGCGATGTTTGGGAATGATGAACACCGAAAACAGCAAATTTAGGAAAATACATTGGCTATCTTCTGGTAATTCCACATAGCTTTAGCTATCGAAATTGCCCCATTTATAAATATTTATAGAAGATTCAGCTATTTAAAAAACCTTAAAATGGCTATCTCTGTCGGGCATAACTGTCGCCGTCCCATAAAGATACCCCAAGCAACACTGCAATGCAATGCACAGCCTGAAAAATCCTGAGCTATCTACCTTTGAGATTGCTGATTGTAAGATTTGTAACGGGTTAATTTCCACTTGCTTCGCGCAAATATGACTGTTCGGAGACACCTGTGAACAGGTGCTTTCCACGCAGTAAAATGTAAACTACATGTATGCATATACAATACCCTTTGGTAATTTCACAATGCCATGGAACATGGCCCAGTTGTATATAGATGGTTTACCTATCAAACATTGTTTCCATAGCTATGTTAGATTATCAAAGAGATTGCATTCAATATCATTCAGGCAGATTTAGGCAAATAAATTTCAATGTATGTAATCAAAAACCAGTTGAAACATCTCTGCCAATATATATAAGCATATTTATACAGTTTTCTATTCATTTGTTTATTATTTACATGTATATTATATATATATGCATGTAATGTATACATTCAGGCCTACGTCCTCACATGTTTGTGCTAACTAACTGTTTTACTCCAACATTTGACTCCACCGAGATCACTCACTCACATCTTAAATTCACAAAATCAATATGTTGTCTCAACATGTCTCAGCTGTGTTCTTCTCAGACCACGATTTGACTTTTGAAGTCGCTCTCATTGTTTTGATCCCAACATGGTACTCAAAACTAACTTGTTCAACTCACTATTTAATTGTTGGCGATCACTATTTTGCTCACTTAACTACTCACTAAAAAAATCTAAACTAATTATTTTGACACCCACCAGCCGTGGCTGACCCACAGCTCTCTAAAGCATATGTATTCATCATATAACCATTTAGCGCCCAGCCAAAAAATCACAATTTATCATATTTTATCAACCTGTTAGTCGGTTTACAATAATGTGGGTAAAACAATAATAGACCACCCATTTGGGAATGGTAGAAATCTCAGCTATTTATGATGATGACTGGGGGATGGTTTGTGGCATTGTTTTACCCACGTCAGTTGTAATAACACCCCAAAGGATACCCTCTGGTAAACTAACATAACTATGGAAAATCACCATTTTCAATGGGTAAATCCGCTATAAATCACCATTCTCAATAGCTATGTTAGTCATTACCAGAATGTAGAAAACCACTATTTATCCTTTGGGGTGTTATTACAACTAACTAACTGTAAACAAACACTATTTATCGCCAGTTTTCCTGGGATTTGACCGATCAAGTTCCCTGAACCACGGCGGGGCACGAGCAGCTGATCGATCCTGAGAGCCGTTTTTCGAGTTCAATGGGGTGGGTCGGGTGGGAACAACATCAAATTTTAAACATACATGGGATATCTACAATGTGGTGCCCCCCAGTTATGTTTGTTGGTTTAGATTCGCCCCAGTAACTAGTTCGTTATTTACGTACCATAAACCATAGTTATTGGAGTTATAAACCAACTTAGCTATCTTGGGGGACTCACATTGTATGGTGATCTATAAAAACAAACTTACAGTAACTACAATATCTATAGTGATTTCATATATAATTTGATGATTTCACCATTCGTATATGGTGATTTCACCTTTTATTAATATAACTAGGCAAAGTATGTCGCGCCATAAAAGATTGGGACAATTGGGATATATATATATATAGTGGTCTACTTGGATATAAATAGCCATATTGAAATAAATTGAGAGTGAAAATCAATGACTGTGACCGGGATGTTTCCCTTCACCCGATAATGTTCAGGCAAAAACTTCTGGTGACTGGAACCAGCAAGGCTTAGTTCAAGACCTCGGGCTCTGCAGCACCATGAAATGGTCAACAACTCAGGGGTCTATCAGTCTATCAATCTTGAGTTGACATCCATCTTGACCCCCATTGAATCATATTGAATCACTGTATGCCTCATGTTTGGTGGTGAACAAAGCATCAAATCCCGAGTTTTCATCGTTAAGTGTTCATTAAATCCCAATGTGTGCTGGATAATTCACCAGATAAATGCTGATGAGTCAAAACCCTGGCACCCCAGGTACCCTAAAATAGCTGATTAATGAATGGTTATTCCCTCAAATATGGTAATAATAGGTTTTGACCCATCCCCAAGTCCCTACACTTGCCGGTGAAAGTACCATTCACCCCTGCTCGCTAACGAAGTTTCGGCTAACGAAGCTAATGGTGGATTGCTCCTGCACAGAGCTGCGTTGGGAATCTGTGCCTTGGCCCTGGTATAGGGCTTGTGTTGTAGCCCACCAAAATCATGGTGTCCTCAATAAAATTGGCTGATTGAAACATGAAATTTGTTAGGTGTCCCTGCCATTTTTTTGGGGGTAAGTAGCATGAAACCGATAAGGAATAATCAACACACATAAACAACATTCAGACACATTTCCATTGTCAACATATTTTTTCACCAAATGGAGCTGTATTTGTTTGTTGTGTTCTTGATGTACCATGGCACAGTAGTTCGGATTCAACCTCTGCCATCGAAACCATCGCCCCACATAAAAAGTCACCTGTGACTATTCGTACATTTGCAAACCAATTTACAGTAATTATATAACTATACCACTTTTTCATGGGTGGCTCACTGAAACCAGACTTCTTAAAATTGGTGATGGGGCATTGTACAGGACAGCAGCACCTTCAGTGGTAAGAACCAGGGTTGCCCCCATGCAAAACATATTCAAGGAAAACATATTCAATGAACCAGCCTAATTTCAAACACAATCCGTCCACATGCTTGATTGTCTATGAGAAAATTGTGGGATATCTAGGAATCTAGGGTACATTTATGGGACAATTCTGGGATAAGTCTTGGAAAATGTGGTTGGGAACCTTGGTACAACGGTAACATCCATATGGCCACCGATAGCTCCGAACCGTCTTCCTGGGTCAACATATCTCCATCCCCACGCGGCAATCATAATGTGAAAATCATCTGGTTGGTTATGATATGGTTATTATATGGTTAATGATGGTTAATAGTAATTAATCTGGTTGGTGGTTTCAACCTACCCCTCTGAAAAATGATGGAGTGAGTAACAGTTGGGATCATGACATTCCCAACTGAATGGAAAGTCATAAAAGCCATGTTCCAAACCACCAACCAGAAATCATCCATAATTTGTCCATTGCCATGTTTGATTACCAGAGGCTAAAGCCGACAACAAATGGGAAAATCATGGGATAGAATGGGAGTATCCAGAAGGCCTGTCTTGAACCAATGTTGGAACTAGAGGGTACCACCGCGTACCATCTACCCAATATTTCTCAGTTCTATCTCCATGCCAAGAAAAACCACGATGGTGAAATCCCACTATTCCTATGGTTTGTTGATCCTAAAACGCTGAAAAACCCATGATTTCATATGATTTCATATGATTTCCACATTAGATCCATATTTCCCCTAGTGACCTCCCAAGTTTTCAAACGCCAGTCATCTCTCTCCCCGGCTCCTGCCCCAAGTCCCAGGCATCGCAGGCGTCCGCAGCGTCTTGCCCGGCATCGCCTGGTTCACCTCAGGGATGAACATGATATATGCCCACATATGCCCTTTTTGGCTCATTTTGGCTCATTAAAATTACCATTTCCCCTATTTGGGTATGGATCAATACCTATTAATACCATTTTTAGTGGGATGAACATCTATAAATCCCAGCTATTTATGTGAACTACAGGGGTGCAAGGTTTTGACACACTGCCATATATATAATTGATATATATATATATATAATTATATATATATATATATAATTGATATATATATATATATAATTATATATATATATAATTGATATATGGTCTTGTATATCTATAGATAGTATAGTATTGTATAAACTGTTAAAAATATATCACACATCATTAGGTGGCTTGGGGGCAGTTTCTGGAGAGGCCTTTTTGATATCGTGAAGGAGCTATAAGAATGCCATAGGATCCCCTGGACATTCTCAGCCAACACGTAAGACCCCCACAAGAACCCCACTGGAACCCGACTGGAACTCCACAACATTCATAAGGAGCTGCAGCCACTACCTGGAAACAATCCTTCTTGGACTCAAAATATCAACCTTTTAGCCCTACTAATATCCATACCCATGCCATGCCCAGGTTTGGGCTGCTGACTGCCGCAATGGCATTGTTCTTCTTCTGTCTCAAATACCATCACCAAATCCCCACCAAACCCCTGTGCAATTCCCAAATTTGGGCTGCTGCAACTGGCATTGTTCTTGTTCTGTTTCAAATGCCACTACCAAACCCCCACCAAACCCCCACCAAACCCCCACCGACATTCCCAGATTTGGGCTCACCCCCATCAAACCACCAAACCCCCATGCTATGCCCATAAATTGCACATTCAAAATGGAAAAAGGGGTGATGGGGTGAACATAAGCGTCACCTGGTAAGGAACACCTTCCAGGAACACCATTTCTTTTTCTGGCTGGCGTGTCCCCCCACGAAGATGGGGGGTTGATCCACAAGGGCAGTGGCCTGCCAATCACAAATGTCATCAAAAGCCCATAGAACTCCCATCAAAGACCCATGCAAGCCCTAGGAAATCTGAAGGGGAAACAAAGGGTTTGTGTAGGGTTTCCATGCAGTTTTGGTAGGTGCCATGATGCACGCCTGAATTTGTGGGCATAGGGTTTGGACCCAAAATGAGGAAAAAAAAGAGAGAGAGAGAGAATAGCTAAAGGAAACTGAGATTTCCAAGATGTGGAAGCAGCCAACCTGAAACACCCTGACACTGAGCGATGATAATGCCTCATGCGGATGAGAAAAACAAATAAAAACCGTGTATGAACTGGCACATGAATGAATCAGCACCCATAATTGCGCAGCAGTCTACATATTTTGATGTGGAAACTATCGTGGAACCCCATTGAATACCAAGATTTGGATCCATAGCCATATCTAAACGGGTTGGAAGATGTTTTATGGAATGCAACTGTCCATCTCTGTCCTCAATGCCTTGCAAGATGCATGATGTTTATGAGTTATCACTCATCCCATGTCATCCGTCCAATTATTGCATTGGCAGGGCCTCACTTCAAAAAACACACACACACATTTCATGTTGCATGTACTCTCAATCAGCCTTTCCTCGAGTTTTTTTGAAATTCCGTGTTCTAGGAATTTCTAACATTGATTTCCCAGTCATATTAAGCCATATTAAGCCATATTAAGCCATATTAAGCCATGGCCATGGTGTATCTTCTTGCGGCAGGGCGCTGGGCTCAGGCGTGGGGGAGAACAGCGAATTCAGCATCTCCTCTTGGGCGCCTCAAATGGGGGATATTCGATGGGGATATGAATGGATATATTGGATAAAATGTGCAAGATAATGTGGACTCATGAATGAATATCCAATATATGATGAGATAATATGACAATGTGCACTCACCATGAAGGGATATGAATTATATGATAATGTTGACAATGTGGACTTAGATAATTCATGGTGATATTCATGAATAAGTAAGGCTAGTGGGTTCAATCCTTCTCAATGCGGGTGTTTCCCAAATGTGACACTCAAACCTTGGTTTCCGTGGAAATATCTTAACTTTGCTGATAGATTGGGGTCTCCAATAAGGATCCTTCATTTGTCGGTCCTTTTATGTCCTCTTGATACCTTGGGGCCCAGGGTCCAAGGGGTGAAACCTTGAAGATCCTGGGGGGCATCGTCCAAAAACGGAAGGTACCCAGCTTTGACCAAAAGCCGCTCGGTTTGGCAACTTGAGGCAAGCAAAAATACTCCAGTCATAGTCCCAATCCACGAAGGCTTTTTTTTGGGGGGCCATTGAAGGTCGCCCTGGTGGATTTTCACCCAAGATTGATCATAGTGATTGAGGGCCCTGCAGCTGGTGTCCTGTTCGAACATACATAGACCAGGGTCCGGGATGTGAAGCAACATATTTCAAACATCCCGCAGCTGATGAAAAATCTAACATTTTGGTGAGATATATTTCAATATATTTCAGAGATATGAATATCCATGCGAGGCCGGCCAATGAGCTCCCAACACCCCAGCCAGATCATCACAGGATATGTGAGGAATGAGTATGAAAACTTTCTGATGGATATCATTTTTTTTGGAACTCCAACATATTCTGCCATTTGAATTTGAATGAATTAAAATCTAGATCAGCAATGATAGTAATGGAGGCCATTGCTGTTCAATCCCCACAAGAAGTCATTTTTCTTTACCAACGCGACTCAAGTTTGACACCCACATGTGCATGCTTGTGTGGGTGCACAATCTTTGTACATTAAAAACTACCCTGCCTTTCGTCCGCCCCTTTGTCAATCAAGTCATTGCTCTCACCACCTTTCATTTGCCAAGTGACACCACTCATGGATATCCTGACATGAGCCACTCCCAGTGGCTCAACAGTGTAAACCCTGAAAGACCATCCTTAGCCTCTGGTAATCCCCTATGAAGGGGGATAGCCCCCAACTACATGGAGCTTTACATGGGAAAAATCCTCTATCAACATGCTGGATTTTTCAATGGCCAACTTTGATTACCGGATGCCACCCCATTTTGTCATCTGTTCGGCGGCGTTTACACGAACTTGGTATATCACCCGTTTCGATGTCGATCACCCAGCATGGGTTCAACATGGATGGCTCCTTACTTTTCTTGAATTTGTTCGAGGCCCCCAAGATATTCACTAATCCCTTAATATTAAATGCCCCCCTATGGCGTCATATGGTCCCAAAACCTGAACAAATCCAGAACTGTTATATACTGGACCAGGGCCCTTGGTAGTATTTGATATTAGGGTGGAAGGGATTGGGATTGTTCATCAATATCCTCTTGTAATCACATATAATTTTAGCCTACAATATCCCCAAAGTATTCCCGTAACATTCACCCACATTCCCAAATTTGTGAGATTTTCCGTTCCATTTTACCATTCAAATCCCACCATACCCAAAAAAAATATTCACATCTTCTTCCCAAAACTGATGGACATTATTCCCCAAAAACTATTGTGTCCATAATCTTCCCCATTCCCATGATGCCCCAGACTCTTCCCATACTATTCCGAAACTATAGTTATATCTACCATAAACCATTGTTAAGCCACTTATAAACCAACTTAGCTATCTTGGGGGCCCCATCCTGGGAAAATCACCTATTCTTCCCAAAAAGGGGAGATGCCGTCCGACGTGAAAAACATTGCCGGTCCTGGGTGCAGAACTGATCCACGATCTCTTTGGAACTGGTCCCAAGATCTTGGCGCTGGATCGATCTGGGATGGTGCACAGTGCACCGGGGTCTATGCACCCAAAAAAAAGGGCTGTATAGACAAAGCAAGATTTTACCAACAAGAATTGGGGAAACATAGGTATTTATAGTTGATATAGTTGATTCATGAATTGGGAAGGGAAGAATGACAAAAAACTCCTGTATCTAATTGACAAGTATGTCCATTTCTTCCTGGACGGGAGGCAGTGATTTTCATGAATTGGGAAGGGAAGAATGACAAAAAACTCCTGTATCTAATTGACAAGTATGTCCATTTCTTCCTGGACGGGAGGCAGTGATTTTCCTGAACCAAAGACTTCTGAACTCAAGTGCATTTCGTGTTGATGAACAGGGTTGCTATGCATATATGAAGCATATACATATATATACATAAACTAAATATGATACGGTCCAGAACAGTTTCCTGTCGTATCAACGGTCATGGAGCTTCCATTTTGATTGGGAGGGCCGCTGCTGAACAACCATTTCAAGTGATGTTCAACACCTATAAGTGTCAGATGTGCAGATGGAAAATAATGCCGTCAATGTTAAATTTTCTTTCTTGGTTAAATCACTTCAATATCTTCAACCATCCTCAACTCATGACCATGTCGAACCTATGTTGAATCCCCAAACAGTTTGCTGCACCAGTTCTGAGACCCTGACCCATGGGATGCGCCTCCAGTGGGTCAAACAACTGGAGTATTTAACTCTGACAGGAACGCCCAAACATATCCACACATGTTCTTCCAATCAAAAAAACAAACCAAATTTAATGTTGAACCACACATAACAAAACTCTATATGGTTTCCTTTGCGTTCAGGATTTGATTCTGGTGTCCACCGGACCCAAATGTGCAGCCCAAAGACAACATTGAAATTTAGGCTGCGGAGGTGGCAACAGAAAGTCTTTGATTTCCTCATCCATCTGCAGTAGTGCTTGTTTGATATACTTGTGTATATAAATAAATATATATATATATGTTATATGTATATATATATAATATATATATATATACATATATGCAATATTGATAATTTATTTATTACTGTAGGGTTACTCCAAACGCATCTATGCCTTCTTCTCCCGAGTCTCGTGAACAATTTGATGCCATGAGGCCATCCCGAAACAAGTCTGGCGGCAGCCCGGGTTCTTTTCAATGGTTTTCAATGAATTCCCCATCATAACTATGGAAAACTCACTATTATTAATGGGAAATCAATGATTTCTATGTGCAATCAATAGCTATGTTCAATTATCAGAGGGTACCCCTTGAACAATCAAACATGACAATGGACACGACAACTTTTGGAACAGTAAAATCCATAAACTGGTGGGATTCCCATTGCTTCGTGCTGATTCCCAAAGTGGAAACCATTCAACAACCTTCACTAACCCAACAAAGGTGTACCCATGATATGTAGCTTTTGAAGTTATTTTACTGTTTTGGTTAGCTCAATGGCCATTTCAGGAACTAAAATTGGAGGAACCTAGCTTATATAAGGCCTGTGTTTGAAGGAATATAAGGGAATATCCCGTTCAACATATGGCCTTTTTCTGGGTAATTACACTACCTCCATATACCTCCTTTTTAGGGTCCTGAAATTCTAACCACTTGGTTAACCTGCACATTTTTCATGGCCCATCGACACACAGGTCAACCTCGCCAGACATCCAGGGTAGAGGCACCTCAGCCGAGCGGACATCCCGTTTTGCAGAAACAAAACGGAAAAGTGTAACATGTGTAACTGGTAAGCCGGTAAGCAATCTTCATTGATATGCCGATGGCTACTTCCAAAACTTCTGGTGACCGAAGTTTGTGACTCGCACTGACTCACAGTTTCCGCGAAGCTTTGCCATGCTGAGCAGCCCAGAGTTAACTGTGCTTCAAGCAACAGCTGCTTGGGCAACGCAACTTCGACCATGCCACTGGGACCCCATGGCCCTGGGCATTCGGGTTTGGTCGCCCTCGAATTTCTATGTCACATGCCAAGCCTGCTAAGCTGAAACGGCAGTCATGACAGGTGTCCCAGTTTTCTTGGGCAAATCATTTTTATCATTTGTTAAGCCAAAATGAAACATGTTGTTTTTGTTGGGATATGTTCACTTTATATTCTTTGGGCCGATGAGATTGCTACGGTCTCCTTTGTCAAGCCTGCCCAAAGACTCATACGTGGGTCATTTCACCCAATCCGAAAATTTGGTGGCTCATGCAAGAACTGTATGATCTGGAAAAATGATAAATCTAATTAATTAATCTAATTATGATATTGTAAATGGGATCAGGATGGTGATCATCCACTTCTAATTTTGGCTGCAACTTGGATCAACTTGCATAAAGTGTGGCAAAAATTACATTATTCCACTACAACTACATTATATACTGTATTATATACACAGTTCATGATAATTCAACGTGCATTACTCAACTTTGGTTAAAGCCACTGTAACTTTGTGAGACCCTCGCAGGCCCTCGCATGGTGGGCATGCACCACCTGAGATGTCGCACTCACAGCTTACTCACCTTGTCATTGGGTCGCTGGTGGGCAGGCAATCCCCGGTCCTTTCCGAAGCCTCGCATTTGGGCGCCGGCGCAGGGATTAGGACCTAATGTCCAGCGGGACCATGATTGTCATTCATATTGGCATCCTTTTGATCACCTGTCTGACCTTGACATAGCTTGACAACATGCCCAACTCCGTTTCCTTGATTGCACCCACAGTGTCCCAGATTAGATGACAAAATCTCTGCAGCTTTTGATGCTTGGTGATTTAAAACCCCGTCAATTTGGCTCCCGGAATGTCGCCTCCCAAAATCAGGGAGCTGAACGCAGAATAAACATCTGATTGCTCAATGTTGCTCATAAATGTCAAACCCAGACACATGAACCCCAGAGGGCCGCACCCAAAACAATGAACAGCTATGTATGATAAAATTAAATGAAGTCCTCCAGTAAAATGTCAGCCAGGGGTTTGGATATATACAACCGCTTCCATCTAAGAATAAACACTCCGAAGAAGTGTTAGTTTGGTATTGGATCTGTTCATTCCGGGGGCCCACATGCCTGCAGGGCCCTATCCTGTTGCCATCAGAGCTGCATCTTTGGGCTCTTTATTCCTTTTGGGGATATGTGGAGGGTGCGGGTATGAATGAAAACCCTAATGCCCTGAAAGGGAATACTGAGCCGCAAAAACGGGTATTGTCGAATTTTCTTCAGGGCCCCTTCCCCCAAAGAATCAAGATCCCGTAAATAGTAGACATTGGTAGGCCAACCAATGGTAAAATACGCGTGTCTTGACAACTGTTCACTGGGTTTAGCCCAGCATAGTCTATATTGTAAGATTTCTTTGACATTGTTTGACTCTAGTCAGGCAACAAAGAATCAACATAAACCTATCCGCTACCATGTGGTTGGGATGTGGTTGGGAGTCCTACCAGCTCCCGGCTAATCACAGGATCGTTCACCACATCCAGGATACCCTTTGGATCCCTCTGACAATCAAACATGGCTGGCGGGAAAATACCACATTTATGGACGAATTTCCGATTGCCACTCCGATTTACTTCGCGAACTTTCCAAGCCAACAATATTTGATTATCTGAAATTCGATTAAATTAAATCCCCTTAAATCATCTTAAATCCGTTAAATCTATGCACATGCCATCAAATCCCACTATAAAACCCACGAATGTCGCATGAAATCCCTATCTGTGAATGATGAGACGACCAAGCCACGGATCAGCCCTTCCTGTGAACAGCTCACCACCTGGCGCGTTTCAAAAAAAACGTGTGGTGTTTGTTGGTTTCACCAGGTTCATAACCATAGATGTTTAGTGATTCTAAGATAATATTATATATATATATATTGTAGAGTTGTAGAGTGACTATGGCCATCAGTCTTAGGTTAGAATAACCACCATCATACCACATCAAAGTATACGCTGGTAATGAACATGATCATACATGATCACTATTAACATCTACAAACCCTCTAGTTGTATTTGTTAAACACCAACTGCGCCACAGCAACCTGGGGCACACCCCGGCCGTTTCCCCCAAAATCGGCGCACCAGCCAACCGTCGCGCGTAAAGATGTGCCCATGCGACAAGCCGCGTGCACCCGTGAGCCGGGGGGAATACATCACCTCGGGCCACGGCAAAAGGATACCACCAACTGAAAAAGTGTCCTGGTTGGTGGCTTTAACCATCTTGAAAAATATTAGTCAATGGGAAGGATTATCCCATACATTATGGAAAATAAAAAAAAAATGGAACCACCAACCAGTGCCAATTCAGTGAGGGAAAATGGTGATTTTATGGTGATTCGTACCAAAAATTGTAATTTAATGTTGATTTATGGTTTCATGAGATGTACCTTCTGGTTTCTGTGACATGGCTATGGAACATCACCATTTTCAATCGGTAAATCATAATGATTTATCATCAATAAATAGGCAATTTCCCATAGCTATGTTGCATAACAGGAAGGTAGCCCAACCATAATTGGGATATTGGTGGAAAACTAATGGTGGTATTAATAGGGATGTAACCACCAATATATGATCCATGTAGCCAACGGTGCTACCGAAACAGCAAAGTAACCTCTGTTGACTTGATGACTCCGATGGTTCCAATCCTTGTCGGGAATCTTATGGTTCTAAACCACCAACCCAAAGCAATTCGAAGCAAACCACCGTGTTTTCCTTCCGAAAGGCGGGAGTGTAGGCATATAAATAACATCAGTTATAGGTATATAATGATATATAATTATACAATGGTACTATATGTTCATACAAAAACAATACAAGAACATACAAGAACTAGAGGGTCATAGCTCAACCAAAACAAGCCATCCATGGCTCTCCGCTCTCCAACCACCTGTCTGGAGCTGCATAGAACCAAAACGTTGAATGAATTCATATCGCACGGTGGTGCAACCCGCTTTTGAGTTCGTTTATGCACACTATAAGTCACTATATATATATATATATCCAGTTGTATAACCCACCATTTACCATAAACCCTATAACCTAATTATGAACCAACTTATCTAGCTATATGGGGGTATACCACTTGTATGTAACATCAATCTCTCATGAAGTGTAGATCGCCAATCAGCTTCAGAACATGCAAAGCTCTGTAGCAATCAACTGGCGTCACAATGTCGCAGCTCTGGAAGAACAATTGAACATATTCACATGGAAAACAGCACATCGCAACACATCTCATTCTGTTTTCCTCTGCTACTCTTAAAGTCTTAAAGTCTTGTGAGATACCCCCTTCCTAGTCTGAAAGCACCATAAATTAGCATATACATCATCATAATCATCACACTTGCCCTTGGATTTGATTATGATGCCGCATGATGTTGACTAGCATCATGTTCATCTTGGATTTGTTTATAATACATTATAATCACAATTTGCAGGTGGATTTGGTTGCCCTTCAGACCCCTTCAAACCCCAACCATCACTGCCATCGCTCGCTTGACCCATTCCGAGGGACATACAGCAGCCAATCATCGGCTCGCCAGCGAGGGAACGGATGATGAAACCACATCGCCTCAGGAGTTGTTCACCATTCACCGGATTGATATGCCATCCTAGTATGAAAACCGATGAATGTTAAAAATAAGGATTTGGTGGGGATATAATGGGATATATATATATATACCTAAGGAACCTATTATGATTGTGATGTTTGAGTGTGTCTGAAATGGGGTCTACCTCCAAAATGGTTATGTACATGAGGCTAATGGATGATAAACCGCGGGATTTTGGGGTATCTAATTTTCAGAGAAACTTCAGCAATCCTAGTTTTGCCCTAGGCTCCTTGTGTAGCGGCTACAATGAATCCACTGTATAGGAACCTACTGCATTAACTTCGGGCGCTGGATTGGTGGATTCAACTCTGTCTATCGGCTAGTTGAAATGAGAACCGTAAGGTGGCCCGGAATTCTGGCCATTAGTTCTTATTTACCTTGCCGAGGTTTACTTTGGTGGTGGTTATTTTGAAAAAATGCATTCCTGGAACAGATGAAGATATACGCCACCAAACAAAAACTTATGTTGGATCTATTAATCCGTTAACAGATATATTGTGTTGGTGCTTCTGATTCTGCAGCTTATCTTCCACCTGGCCAGGGCTGCCAAAACAGAGGGGCAAAGATTATGATTAGCGCGGACAAAAACAATAAATGGCATTCTAATCATCCGGCTTGGCCAGAACAAACGGATTTATGCGCCCAAATTCATAAACTGTCATTATAAATCCCATGGCTCCCTTTATAAATCCTATTAAAAATCCATTAATCCATGATAAATTAAACCATGATTCATCCATGATAATGGCTTAGTGGGCCATGATTATTCAGTGATCTTCCACAGGGCCACCTCTCCCGTGCCGTGCCACGTGATCCAAGGAGGCCATCATCGGTCGGGCCGACCAAAAGGACCGCCATGGCAACTCTACGCGCGCTGTACCTGCGGCTGAGCATCACAAAACCCGAGCCCCAAAAACAACAACGACAGACGGTCAATTCCTTGACATTTGAAGTAAGCGGACGTATATTTCTCTGTGTGTATTGTACGTGCATACAATATAACCTCTCTTTCTCTCTCATACCTCTCTGAATAAAACCACTTAACGGGCAATCAGTACTGAGCCATTGTGCTATAACCTGTTGTAGAATGATACGCATAGGATTGTCATGGGATAATATGAGAAATTATGGGACCCATGCAGTAAAACGATACCAATTGGGCGGGGTTGATTCTTGGTATACTGCATGTACCCTACTTGGGGATGATGTTTTTGATGACTCCCAAATGGTTGGTTCCTGGGATGGATTGTGGCATTGACGAATGCCCGCAGTTCCGTTCTGATACCATGACTGAATTTTATGTCCCAACTTTGATCATCCGTGTTTATGTTTTGGGGCCTCAAGAGTATGGCATTGCCGGGCTTAGAAACCCTGCACAGATAGGTTTAGCCAACCTTACGATTTACATCAAAATGTATGGCGAAAATCGAAGCACACAACTAGTGTCTCCATCCAAAATATCCAAGGCTTCTCCAGAGGGGATGGGATGCCACCGGCAGGCGGAAGTTCCCCAGGCAGCAAAGGTGCTAAGAAGTTCCGCGTCACTCTGGTAGGCCAGCACCGAGTGATGGACATGCTCCTGGGGCTATGTCTCTCTGTGGCTTTTTCAACGACCAGTGAGTAAGGCCACTTGTGACCGCCCGCCAGATGCAGGTCAGTTTCACCGCACCAATTTCATTATTTTTCATTCTTCGCACCCCAGGTTTGATAATGATACATCTTTGATTCACCATCTTAACAAAACATTTTGCAGCCACTCATTTGGTGAATTTCAAATCTTCATGTTTGTTGAAATGTATTTGTTGGCCGTAGCAATTGGCAATCCAATCCACACCTTAATACATTTCAAAGATGTTCCCATTAAAACCTTCATTCATAAGATATTCAATTGCCACGTTTGAAAACCGAATGGCAGTGCTCATTTCCGGTGAGCATCCTATCAGTTCACAACCCTCCAGCCCAAGCGTTGGTCATCGCCAGGCATCGTCGTCGGGCAAGCGCTCACGCACACGAAACCAAAGCATCTGTGACGGCATGCCCAGGCCGCTGAGTGCCTTGCCGCAGGTGCCCCCATAAAGGGTGCCTATGCAGAAGATAAACTTTCCTAATGTGCTGGGTAGGTGGTGGTCACTCCGAATTTTCCAGGGTTTCGCCTGTTCTATCGGCTTTTAGTTGTGCTGTAGTCAATGTGGGTTATCATTTCAGGGTTGGTCATTGAATTTGAACCCCTGTTCATTGCTGTAGACATCAGAGGAATCGTCAGAAGTCTAAGTCTGCCGTTAATGCAAGAAAACCACGGATCATTAGCGTAAAAAAACAGCATATAACTCCCCAAACAAGTCTGAACCATAAAATGCGGACATGAAGCACTGGTCAAAAGATCCCCCAAAAAAATACTCAATTTATTCCGCCAATCTTTGCAAGTAGGGATGGAAAAATACCAACAAACTAATCATTGGTTGCTGGCCCTCGCGTGTTCTACTCAAATCGCACTAGTTGTTGGAAATTGTTGGTTGGCTACTTGGCGGTTAATCTCAGGAAAACTGTTTGTGGGTTAGTAATAGAACGAACCAACTTGCTGTCCAAGGGTTCGCGCCTTTAGCATCCCTGGGCCCTAGATGGGTAATTTCTATTGAAAGGGCTTAAACTTAAGGTGGTTACATCGAAGTGATTAGATACGGTGATAGGCCAACTGAAAACGGGGGGGCCAAACTTAGCCCAGTCGTTTCTGCGGCTCAAGCTGCGTACTTTTCACGTTTCTTCCGTGCCTCCTCTGTGTTCCTTAGAAGACAAGCCACGCGAAAACAAGCATGCTATCGTCAAAGTTGGGAGGACCTTTCAAGTTGGGCCGCTTAGCCAATCATTGTGAAAGATGTTCCAACTGATTTTTGACATTGATCAATGATAACCTAATTTGCACATGCGCCAGGCCTGGGGCTCCATAGCGTTGCAAGTAAAAATTACATTGATGTTTCTCTGTGACTGAAACTGATTTATAACAAACATCTGATTCGAACACATCACTTATAAATACACCGGAAAGAGGCCCCAAACAGTGTGGGGGGGGGGGTAGGAAGCCAATATACCAGATATAAGCAACAGTAGCTATTGTCGAAAACTGCAGCAGCAGGACCTTCTATATAAATCTATATAGAGGATCGCACAGGGTCTTCAGAGAAGAGCTTCGTAGGAGCTTCTCAAGATCTTCATGCAAGCGCCTCTTGAGGAGGATTTCAACAGGATCTTGACAAGATCTTCTCACAAGGACCTGTAACAGATCATGTAAGGACACCCAGAGAGTTTCACAAAGACCTCCTCAAGAGCTTCTCACAAAGGATCTGTGCAAGATCATGGCCACTAGGATCTCCACAAGATCTTCTCACAAGCATTTGTAAAAGACCTTGACCAAGATCTTCATGCCAGGACCCCTAAGAAAATTTCACAAGATCGTCACAAAAGGACATGCTGCTGCTGGAGATGATCTCACAAAATCTTGATACAAGAAGCTCCCAAAAGCATCGCAGAAGAGCTTTCATACAAGCACGTCTAAGACATGGCATCTGCAAGATCTTCAGGCAATGACGGCAATGACCTCTTAGAGAGGATCTGACCAGGATCTCAGGATCATGCAAGGACCTCTTACAGAGGAAATTTATCATAATTCACCAGGATCTCCACAAGATCTTCTTCTAAGGACCTGTTCCAGATCATGCAAGGACCTATTAGAGGATGCTAACCAGATCTTCACAAGATCTTCTAAGAAGGACCTGTACAAGACCTTCACGAGCCGAAATGTACATGGACATGTCACAAGATCCATTCCATGCGAGAATTTGCGGGGAAAATGCTGGGGACCAAGATCGGGACGCAAAGTCTGTGCGAGCCTGCGCAATGGAAATGCATATGGACATGTCACAAGTGACAGGAGCCATATTATGCCAAAAAACAAGTGATAGGTACCCACGTTTTGCACGAGCCTGCGCGGTCGAAATGCACATGGACATCTAAGACGAACCATTTTATGCGAGATACAAATTTGGTATGCATGAATGACTCTTGGTTTTCATGGCTTCTGCAATTTCTTTCTAAGTCTCAAAACTCAAGCCCAGGCAAGGGGGTTTACCAAAAAGATAAGGGACTGAAAGACCAGACCGGTATGTTGTTCCCGCGTCTTTTCATTCGGGTTTGAAATTGGACCCCTGTACAAAACCACCAGTCATGCAGCCCCTCTCCCTCTCTCTCCCGCCCCCATCGTCGCTCAAGTAGGTCAGAAGAGGAAACATGACAAAGGAATAGGCCCTGAATAATTTCCAATACACAGCATAATGTTGGAACTTGGAACCAGCTGCTTGGGCACTTCAACGTAGGTGGGGCATTGAAAAATAGAACGCGCACACACACATCATAATAATAACAATAACAATAATTAATTCAAATAACAATAATAATGATAATGACAATGACAATAATAATCATAATATATATATATACAGTATATGGTTTTAAAAAAACAGGTGATGGCGATTTCCCAAATGGTAAAATAGCCATTCCCCATCAAAACCCAGGTAACGAAAGCTTCAACAGGCGTGAATCGTTTGACTGCCAAGCTGCCAATTCAACGAGTCCAAAATAACTCGGACATCGATCGGGTGGTTCTCCCGCCTACAGCCAAGCTGCACGAGTGTTCAACAAGATGGTGGCATAGGGTCGAGTCCAAGGTGTTTTTTCCCGTTGATGAGTGTGATGGTGCTAAGAGATGCTGATGGTGATGGTAATTATGCTAGGGAGGAGGCGGATGAGGATGAGGATGGCAAGAAAGGGCGAGGGAATGGCAATCAAAATCAGACAGCCATGTCGAGCACCAGGAGAAAACACTATATAAGTTAATCTAAGCATTGCTGATCCCCCTGCAAAACCAACGTGATTCCCTGGTTGGATTAATATAACTATATTTTATAGATATATGATACAATATGTTATATATATATGTTTAGATATATAAACCACCCATCACATGTTATTCTGTTGTTGTACACATGTACCAAAAAAAGGCGTTCGCCTGTTTTCTTGAAGTAGTCAAATTGTTTATGAAAACCCAGGCCACAGTTGTTATTTTTCAAAAAAATGGGACTTGAACATCCCTGCTGAAATTAACAAACATGGGAAGATCAATGATTATGACCAGCAAAAAATGTTGGCATTGCACACATCTTTCAATCATCATCTTGGTGTCCTACTGAGTTTGCCGCTTACCACCTGAAGCCATGTTTGTTGCATCCAAGCGCGATGATCCCGGGGAATGGCCATCTGGGTCTCTAGGTAGTTAGTCTTCCCAGCAAAAAAAAAAACTATTGAATTTGGAAAAATATGATGGTGATTTTGACAAATTTCCCGTCAATTTTCAGGTGTCAAAGCCATATCTATATCAACAACATTTTCACTTGAAGCGCAGGTGCAGTAAGTCCTGCAAACTTTGGACACATGAGCTGAGAAACAAGAGCAACAGTTGTCAGGCATGTAACAAAACATTAACGAAATAAAAAGCAGTTCTCAATGAAATTCTTCAAAATGATGTTTCCGAAGCCAAACTGGAACTATAGGCAGGACTGCGGCAGGACTGTGGGAGGCAGCAGGCCGATATTGCTTTGATTGTTGCAGCTGATCTGCGACAGAAATCTTTGAAATTGGATGAAATTGGAATGGGTGTGAAATAGTTTTAGGATTTTTTTTTTGAGCAGGTTTGGGATTTTTTTTGGGATTTCTTGGCTGGTACCATTTGCCTAGTGTTTGCAACGGTTTGGAACTTGAATTTGTCATTTTGCATGGTATTTGCCACATTTGGGCATGTTCACCTTCCATTTTGCATGGGATTTACTACATGTGGGCATGTTCACCTTCCATTTTGTATGGTATTTGCCACATTTTGGCATGTTCACCTTCCATTTTGCATGGGATTTCCTACATGTGGGCATGTTCACCTTCCATTTTGTATGGTATTTGCCACATTTTGGCATGTTCACCTTCCATTTTGCATGGGATGTTCTACATGTGAGCATGTTCACCCAAATATTACAGATGCGGAAGCTTGGGATTAGATAAAAAGCGGGTGGGGGGGATTGAGGGAGGACGCTAGCTATCTATCCAGCTAGCTAGCTATCTAGCTATCTAGCTAGCTACCTATCTAGCAAGCTAGCTATCTATCTAGCAAGCTATCTATCTATCTAGCTATCTATCTACCTATCTAGCTAGCTATCTTGCTAGCTATCTATCTACCTATCTAGCTATCAAGCTAACTATCTATCTAGCTATCTAGCTATCTAGCTTTCTATCTATCTAGCTATCTATCTATCTAGCCATCCAGCTGTCTATCCAGCTATCTAGCTATCGAGCTATCTAGCTAACTATCTATCTAGCTATCTAGCTCTACTTTCTATCTAGCTATCTATCTATCTAGCTCCAGCTGTCTATCCAGCTATCTAGCTATCGAGCTATCTAGCTAACTATCTATCTAGCTATCTAGCTATCTAGCTTTCTATCTATCTAGCTATCTATCTATCTAGCCATCTGTCTATCCAGCTATCTAGCTATCGCTGCTCTATCCAGCTATCTAGCTATCGAGCTATCTATCTAGCTATCTATCTATCTATCTAGCTAACTATCTACCTATCTATTTAGCTATCTATCTATCTATCTAGCTACCTAGCTATCTATCTAATTCTATCTAGCTAGCTATCTATCTATCTATATCTAGCTATCTATCTAGCCATCTATCTATCGAGGTATCTAGCTATCTATCTAGCCATCTATCTATCGAGGTATCTAGCTATCTATCTCTCTAGCTATCTATCTATCTAGCTGGCTATCTATCTATCTAGCTATCTATCTACCAAGCTTCTATCTATCCAGCTATCTATCTATCTATCTATCTATCTATCACATGTAATCCTGTCAGCTTTCCAGAGAAGGTTAGTTCGCAAAAACCAACTAATGTAACTTGGGTTTAAGTTTAAATAAAAAAAAGCGGGAGGGGGGGATTGGGGGGAGGGCGCAGCGCCTCCCCCAAAGCAGAATGCAAGCACCTCTTCTCACATGTTACGTTGCTAGTTTTCAAGAGAAGGTTGGTCATGTGATACTCAGGGATGTAAATACTGTGCAAAATGCATCTTACATGAAAATCAAGTATTTAAAGCAGGCAAAGCAAAAAAAAGCAGAGAAGCAAAAAAGCAGAGAAGCAAAGAAGCAGAGAAGCAAAGAAACAGGAAACGCACAAAAGCAAAACAGCAGAAAGGCAAAGAAGCAGGAAAAGCAGAAAAGCAGAGAAGCAGGAAAAGCAGGAAAAGCAGAGAAAAAGAAACAGGAAAAACAGAAAAGCAAAAAAGCAGAAAAGCAGAGAAGCAGAGAAGCAGAAAAGCAAAAAAGCAGAAAAGGCGAGAAGCAGGAGAAGCAGAAAAGCAAAAAAGCAGAAAAGCAGAGAAGCAGGAAAAGCAGGAAAAGCAGGAAAGCAGAGAAGCAGGAAAAGCAGGAAAAGTAGAGAAGCAGGAATCCAAAAATAATTCCTAAACCTGATCAAAAAAAAATTCCTAAAATAATTAGCCCTCCAATTGGAATGTATCAAGAACCTGTCTCTCAAATGGTGTATTGCACCACGTAGCAGGGATAAGCCTGCTCCCGATCAAAGATCACAAACTCTTGATGGAATTGGTGCTGATTGTGATGTCCTTGTACCCATCCAGGCTTGACAACAATTGAATCGTAGGTGCCAGATGACTCACTTCTGATGGGCGGCCTTCTTGCGGCCATTCGGGTTTCAGCCGCTGTGTAAGCATCACCCAATGCCACTCGAGCAAAAATCACCGTTCTCTCACACCGGCAGCTGCAGCACCACTTGTGCTTCTCGCATGTGTACTGATGGCTCTTGCAAGCCGCACATGCGAAATACACCCCCGCACCATACAGAGCATGCTGGCAGGTTCTGTGGTCGAACCCTTCGCGGACGATGGAGTTTGCATTATCCCAAGAGGTTCCATGCAGCAGAATCTTCTCGTCAACATCCACCGCAAGTGGCTCGCCACAGTCAAAGGTCTGTTGGGACGGAGCCATGATATTGGCATAGCCTTGGAGTTGCTAAAGGAGCACAGAGAAATAGGAATCGTATATCGCCATCATTCTTTATATCTGTTGTTTCCTGCGAAGTATGTGAATTCCTCTGCGTTTGCTGGATTTCCGGCAAGTATAAACAAAACTCAACAAAACAAAGGGAAACCCAAGGAGCCATCAAGATCAAGCTCCGCAGAGGTAACCCGAATGTCGTAGGAGGCATGGTCCTGACGCATCTGCGCGAGCTTCGCCTGGTAACGATGCCATAGACGGCTGTGCTCGATGCGATGCACGGACTGGATAACTGCCCTGAAAGGGAATTTCACTGTTGGGCCCTCAAGTGCCTTAAACAAAGCCGCAAGTCAGCAATACAGTACATGGCAATTCACTCAATGGATTTCTTTGTTTCGCTGCGACGATTTCGGATTTCAACATATTTCAACCACATTATTGGAACAACACTTTGAAACCCTGCCTTCTCATACAGAAGCATTGCTTCGAGGCGTCCCATGCATGACCCGTTTGTGTCAGGATCTCGTGAATGGCGTCCCAAATTTCTTGGTCTGCCACCACCTTGTAGAAAGATTCCAACTCATTCCCTTGTTGAAGCAACTCTGCTGCAGGGGTAACCCATTGAGGAGGCACGCCAGTCAAGAGACGAATACGGCGCACTTTTTGCGTCGTCAGGTGTTCTTGCTGCATCAGCTGAAAGTCTACCATGCGGGCAACCCCACCCGAATTGATTGCAGCATATCGGCCATCAGGAATGCTGCTGAGGTATTCCAAGTATGCCTGGTGCATCTTTACATTGCCCTCTGGTGTAAATGCCTCCCAGGAACCTTCCATTTCAAATTGCCAACTAGCACCGGAGCTGAGACTGGACAGACTCTTCTTTATCTGCAACTGTTCTCTCAACTCAGCAGTTTCCTTGGACATCGCATCCAGCTGTTCGCGCATGCTTGTGCACTCCTCCTCGGCCACCTTGCATCTCTGCTGCTCACTGGCCAGCATCTTCTGCAGTTGTGCGATTTTGTGCTGTGCAACTTTGTTCTGGGACTCCAGCAATCTCAGTTTGTTCTGCGCACGTCTCTCCAGCAATACCTGAACGCGAGCATCTTTGGCTGCGCTTTCTGTATTTTTCACCTTCTCCGACGCTGTGGGGTGCAGCATGCGAGAGAAGGTTCCCTTTCCCTTGCTGCCAACAGCTTCCTTACTGCTAGCAGTTTCCTTTGGCTGGGCCTTTTGAGGCCTCGCCACACCAGGTCCAGTCCATGGATTGGGAGCAAACCAGGCTGGCCTGCAAATTGAAGCTGCAGGAACCCTTTTCAGATCTATGGGGTCATCTGACTCGCCTTTGACTTTAACCTGGTCATCACCGCATCTCCGTTTGTTTGCTTCCGTGTTTGGCACAGGCACTCTCTTCAATCTGGACCTCCTTTCCAAAAGCAATCTTCGCAGCTTTTGGCTCATGTCGACCTCCTCCTTTATGGCTAGCTGGCTCATTCTTCGCTTTTCTTTCATGTCTCTTCGCATCTTCTCCCAACAGTCTCTTCGCATCTTCTCCAAATCTTCTTTGGTCAGAAATATTGTGTCATCCACCTCCTGCTTCACCTCTGCTGGTGGTGCTGTCGGACTAGAGCCTGAAGCCTGTGCATTCGCAACTGCTTGCAGCCAACCTGCTTGCAGCGAATCCATGTGATTGCCACTGCCGCTGGGCTATGGTAGGACTACATGTTTGGACAAAGTGTATGGTTGCTATGAAAGGAATCTGAAGTGAATGTTTGGATATGTTTGGTTGGTTGGTTTCTGTAGAAGTGAAAGTGCAGATATATGCCCGCCCACCCTGGCAAAAAAAACACGTCAAGGTTGAGATGTTCTTCATACAATTTTCCAACCAAGGTCGGCCACAATGACATCATCCAGCAGGTATTTGAACCGCTGAACACAAGCGAGCGTGAACCTCACATCACATTGGCACAAACAATGTGAATTTTGAATGGTTGTATATATTATAGTGACCGAGGGAAAGATAGAATGAGCGTTTGGAAAACCGCTATGATTTTTTTTTGGCCAAATGCAAGGCAAACCCCCTCATTCTAAGTGAAGGCACCCGGTTTTTCCATTTATCACCACAGTTAGAATGACGTCGTTTTTGCACTTTAGGCTCTGACTTTGCGGCATGTGTGGGGAACTCTGCATTTTGGCGACCACAGATAGAATGACGACCAAACAGATGCCGAAACCGTTACACAGTCCCAATCTGTTAGATTCTTCCAGAAAAGTGTCGTTACACGAGGTTTTGCAGCTTCACCTATAGACACTGCGACATCGACGCAGCAAAAGACACGAGGTTTTGCAGCTTCCCCTATATAGAGACTGCGACATCTACGCAGCAAAAGACACGAGATTTTGCAGCTTCCCTATAGACACTGCGACATCTACGCAGCAAAAAACACGAAGTTTTGCAGCTTCCCCTATAGACACTGCGACATCTACGTAGCAAAAAACACGAGGTTTTGCAGCTTCCCCTATAGACACGGCGACATCCACGTAGCAAAAGACGCGAGGTTTTGCAGCTTCCCTTATAGAGACTGCGACATCCACATAGCAAAAGACGCGAGATTTTGCAGCTTCCCCTATAGAGACTGCGACATCTACGCAGCAAAAGACACGAGGTTTTGCAGCTTCCCTATAGACACTGCGACATCTACGCAGCAAAAAACACGAAGTTTTGCAGCTTCCCCTATAGACACTGCGACATCTACGTAGCAAAAAACACGAGGTTTTGCAGCTTCCCCTATAGACACTGCGACATCTACGTAGCAAAACGCACGAGGTTTTGCAGCTTCCCCTATAGACACCGAATTAACGACGCGAAAAACGACGCGAAAACGACGCGAAAAACGACGCGAAAACGACGCGAAAAACGACGCGCCGACCAACTGGCGGCGAACAAAGGTCCAACCCCCAGACCCCCAACTATAAACGGGAACCCTTCGCTACGCATTCGGGAATAAACCTTGACAACTCATGCATATATATATATATATAGTTTGTGGTTTTGATGACCCGTTGCATTGGAAATTATTCCCTTTTACTGGATTTTGGATGGTTTAAGATAGATTTATGATTTGATTTGAAGGTTGGAAGGCCCCCCTCATTCTAACTGAGGGTGTTTTTCACCTCATTCTAAGTGCACGAATCCTTTTTTTTGGAAAACCGGGACTCATTCTAACTTTGACTCCGTCACAATACTTGTGTTTTATTTCACCAATGCCGCACCTTCCCAACATAGTGGTCAAACCCCGTAGAAATGATAGGCAAATACCCAACTCCACCAGGGTCAACCCCGGTCGACTAGGGATATGTCTACCATAACCACGACAATGAATCTATTTACCTATTTCCCGCAAGTGTTCGCTATGGTCAGCTGGTTTTCTATCTGTGGTTTGTCAGATTTTCAACATATGAATTCCTGCCTAAGATTTTGTCTTTCAATATGTGATTTTCTATCAAACCTGGCAATTGAAAATCCATTATTTACAGATCATTTTCTCATTTATATACAGTATATAAACCCTCATTTATAGATGACTTTCCAGCCACGTTTGAGAACACCATTGGACAAATATATTCCCCCCACCGAGTTTCCGAGGGACTTTCGAAGCTTCATCAGCTGCTTCACCAACGGCTCCACATCTGGATTTTGCAGCAGCTGCTTGTAACGCTCGTGCTCCTTGGCGAATGGTGGACACGGGGGTTCATTCAATATCTAATTGGTGGTTTCAACCCCTCTGAAAAATATTGGTCAGTTGGGATGATTATTCCCAATATATATGGAAAAAAACATGTTCCAAACCACCGACCGGATATGGATATGAAGTTTGCGGTAGTTGTAGATTGTTGTAGTAATTCTCCCAGGACTTTTATTTGCCGCGTTTCGTCCAAAATGAAAAAGGTTTTTGATTGGAGTGATTCAATGATTCCCCTTCCGGCCCCCATATATAAAAATATCTATATACACATTATATTGTGTATGTATATATATATGTATATGTGCGTGCATATGCATATTAAAACATGTATGTATATGTGCATGTATATGTGACAATGTATGTGCATATATATATATATTATATATATGTACACATATATATATATATATATTATACATGCAACTATGTGCAAATGTGCATGTGTGTCTGGCACGTTACCGGAAGGATGGAAGTCATAAGAAATCTATACGTACAAGTGACAACAGAGTGACCCCAGTGAAGGTGTTGAGGAAAAACACACAAATGATTCCCTACTTCGTTACGGATATCTCATATGCCTGGGGCGCCCTAAGTACCAGAAAAAAAAATGTGATTTTTAACAAAACCTACTTTTTGAAGATCCGGGATTGGAAAGACTAGAAAATTTGAAATACCGCATTTTTTTTGTCATTTCTTGGGTTCTTCACACGCTTTGGCCGCCCTTTCCATTACATAGTAAGTATGTCAAGTTGGCTGAAGATGTGAAAAAGGCAATCCCCCAAAACAATTATATATATAATATGCCTGAGCTAAACCCTCACGACGGGTTGAAAACAGGTTCGCCACATATTTTATGTAGGATACCAAAACAAAACACGAAACAATTATCGCGGAAATTTGCAGGAATATCGCGGAAATTTGCAGGAATATCGCGGAAATTTGCGGACATATGTTTCAACCATTTAAAAACCAGCATGTGTGGCCATGGCCCAAGAATTTCAAGAACCCGCCTCTATCTTTTGTTTCCCTAGAACGCGTTCCCCGAATCCATGGCGCCCAGACTTAACAAAGAACGAGGCTGTGGGTGCCGCAATTTGGCAAAATCATTTATCGCATTTTTTTGGTTTTGTCGCAATTTTTGTTTTCCACCGCGTTTTTTCAAACCAAGGTGGTCCATCGCGTTTTTCCTGCACTTGGGTTTCGCAGGTGTGCATCTGCCCATTTTGTTATCGAGATTGGTGGTTTGACAGCTAATCCAACGAATATGAAACACCACCACCACACATATGGTTCAAAATGAGAGTCCCAAACTTTTGAAACCAATTTGAAACCACCATCCAAGTGAGATTCAACCAACACCCCAAGTGGTAACCCATATAGTGGTTGGTGAGAGTCGTCAGGCAAACTCTCCGGATCTGGCACATCGGGCATCTGTGCTTGATGGCACACGGAATAGCCTGGAACGCGGCGGGTTAAGCTAACATGTTGAAACACATGTGGAGCCGCATGCGGAGATGTTATGAAAATGCGTCTTTGCGTGCTAGCAGTTTGTCATCGGGATTTAAAAGGTATAATCCAGCGCCCATCGCAACATCTTGCAACAGGTCGAGGTACGATTGGGATGTTGTTTTTTAAACAAAGAATGGTGCATGGTCAGGGTGTGACGCCTGGCAGCTGTTGCATGGCTTTTTTCATGCCGGCCAGAATGAACCATTCTGCACCCGTAGATAGCTGGCAATGTTTCTAGTTTTGGAGCATCAAGTGAAACTTCTGAAGGCTCCACTTGTAACAGCTCTAGTCTTTCACCATCTTTCACCTATAGCTGATCTTAGTCTCAGATCTTTGCACAAAAATTATATATGTTATATGTTGATATATGTTGTTGCTGGTCAGTCGGCTTCCCATAATTTTAATTTTCCCATTGCCCAATCTCTCTCCATCGCCATCTCCACTGGTGATGGCCCAACGGCATCATCTGTTATCCTCCGTTAATGAGACATGGCAATCAAACATGCCCTATCATAGAGGTCGTAATGGGGAAATCAACGCTATAAATCTATAAATGGTGGATTTTCCATCGCAATTGACAATCCCAACTATATAAATGAAAGTTTATAGCTGGAAAACACCAACCATAAATGATGGGATTTTCCATCAAAACATCTTTGGTTTCTGAAGGGTTCATCCTAAACCCTAAAGCCCGTGCCGGTTATGACTGGAATTATTTCATGATGACCTTAGATGACCTTAGTTACAGGAGTTAGTCCATCCCATACTACCCTCTGGTAAACATACAAAAAACTATGGAAAATCACAATTTTCGATGGGAAAATCCACTATTTCTATGGTCATTTTCAATAGCTTTTTGTTATGTTTTCCAGAGGGCAGCACTAAGGGCCATGTAGCGACAGCCGCCACGCCTTCGGGCTTTTGAAAGCTCGCCTGCATGGTGAAGATCCTCATCTCGATGGAGCTTGTGACGGTTTCAATGGATCGGTTTAAGGGCTTTTAAGGGAACATCTTCGGGAAACCATGGGTTTTATAAACATAACATAGGGGGGTTTTGAAGAAAAAATGAAAATGAAACTCAACATCACCCAATTCTAGGACATATCTTACCATCAAAGAAAGCTGATCATAGTCGGATACAGTTAGTATCATCCACACCCTCCATTCGGACACCACATGTTTGCTATCAACCACCATGGATGAACTGGTCATTGCTCAGGTGGCAGGTGGATATGGCATCGGATGCCGTTCACGGTTCACGGGATGATCAAGTATACCGCAGGGAAACAAGCCAAATGACAGCTTAGGACAGCACATGAGCAGTGTTCAAAACATTGTAGTCAATTGTAGTCCCTTTACAATATCTACCTGTGTATATATATATATAGTTTCTGCCTTAAAATGATTTCCAAGGACCGATTATGATCCCCCATATGTTGGTCAGTACAAGCCCAGAACTAACCATCAACCATCATTTAAAAATTATAGAGATTGCTAAAAAACGTTAAATCCCAGGTGATTCCCATTAATAACCGGCTTTGAACAATACCTAAGCGATGGCATAGTTCTCCTGAAATGGAAAAGGTGCCCTGAAACGACCATGGCAAGACTTGGAATATTGGCACCCTGTAAAAAAATACCTTACCGGCAGTATTTCTTGTTAGGTACGATTTGTCAATACCCGTTTTCTAAATATCCCATTCCAACCAAGCAACCCACTGACCTAACTCAACCATACTCAACCCATGCTGAGGCAGCAATGATCTTTGTCAGCTGCGTCTTGACGCACCTTTTTCAGCAGTCAACTTTCTGGAACTTTCGACCGGGCAGCAGTTCGGGGAACCATGTGAGACTTACAAACCTGCAAGGTCCTGCAAGCCTCCGGCAGAGAGGGCCACTTCGTGTGAGTGCCAAGAACCAGCTGCAAATAAGGACCCTCAAAGTGTAAAATCGGGTCACAAAAAATGCGGCGTTTTTGGAAGGATCGTTGGTCACCTCCAACAAGAGCAACCCCAGCGAAACAGACCAACAAAAGGAATCTGGATAACTTTGATACAAATTGATCATGCACGAGGAGCAAGGCTGCATGGATCTTGTTTCTTTGGGATGGCCAACAGTGCTGTGAATGAGCCAAATCCCTGTCCATCCCAAAAAGGTTCAAGTGTTTTACTGGCAAAAGAGTCGCCTTCAACACTTCCAGTAGACTTGCTGGCTTCTAAACTTTGCTCATCCACCATCTTCCTCTGTGAATTGAAAAACTTTAGGACTGTTGCTGGCAGCATGTGGCTTTGCGCTGAGGCAACACATCTAATGCCTTACTGCCAAGGCGTCGTTAAAGTTTTCGACAGTCGGCAGCTTTGCAGCAAGAGCCACGCGCACAGCAGTTTCGGTCGACGCAAACATATCACGTGCAGCTCCTTAGACGTGGTGAGAGCGATCGGGACACGACAAGTTGCGGGTAGGTAACCTCAACACCATGGAGGTCCAAGTGTTCGGACGCCTCTTTGGAAAGAAAAAATCTGGCTCGTCCAGCATACCTCCGGTGAATTCTGAAACAAATAGGTACTTATGATATCTTATGATACATAATTATATATATATGTTATACATATTACAATCTGTATTAATCTCTCTCTCTCTATATATATATGCGTGTGTATATATCTATATGTGTCCAGCGATAAAATAAGAATTCACCAGCCTGAAGAGTTTGGCAATGTTTGGGATGATTACATATAGTTACCATAGTTGCCCCTTAGCCTTACACCATCTTACACCATCATTCCAGTTGTGACGTTGCGATGTGAGGTCGGCATCAGGTGATCTACTTTCAGGGCTTATGGTGTTCAATGTCTATCCGTTTGTGTACACTAATGCAATGTGAGTTTGGGTACCGCAAGTGGAGAAACCTCTCATGTGCAGTTGGTCCAGCAAAAAGATCATGCTGCTGGCAGGTTGAACTCCCGTGCCAACCAAACGCCTTCAAGCAGCCCAAAAATATGAGATTCCAGCAGTGGTCTAATAGGGGGACTTATTTAAAGGGCAATTTGTGTTTCTTTGTGGGGGAGCATCCTGCAAAGATTTGTCTGCAGAATATTAACTGCAGAATATTGGCACCACAGCGAGTCGCACTGTGTGGCCAAGATACACGCGACCCCTTTGGCATCTGCTTTCTCCACATTCACGGGCCTTACACAGAGTTCACATGAGCCATTGGCAAAATGACCTATACAGTACTGGGCAGTGGGCAAATGAATTCACACAACATGCTACATCTTTGTACCCAACACAATCTGGCTATCATTTACCTACAATGCTTTGGAGCAACCTTGAAAAATATCTGCAACATATCCAAACTAATTGCAGTATAGAATTTGGTTCCGATAATTTCCCCACTATCTATAATTATATAATATTTATCGCATCATTGCCCAGTCAAAACGGTTGGTTTCATCACTTCAATCCCATTTGTTGCGTGTTTCCTCTCTCTTAAATCCCAATGTTCCCGCCTAACAATTCATAAATCCCCATCAAAAAGCCTTGACCCCATGAAATCCTCATTTTCCCAAGGTAAAACCCAACATGTTCCGGTACCCACCATGACCCGCCATTTCTTACGCAGCAGGGCGCCGGCTCTTCCAGTAGACCGCCAACACGCTGCCCACGATTGCCATCCACACCACGCTGACGGCGCTGGGCACGCGCACGTTGAAAGCACCAAAGTGTAGCGAGGCCAAGAGGAAGCCAAAGGCGCCTCGAAAAAAAATCGCCGAAGTCTGGTGCCTCTTTTTGGCTTATGGATTAACCATGGGTTATTCAGGTATTTATGGATTATCAATGGTTTTTTCATGTATTAACTATATTAATAATAGCTAGTAGTGGATTAATAATGGGTTAATATGGATGAATAACGGCTAATAATGGGAATTAAGGCTAAACCATCCAGTGGTTAGTTGCTAGTAGTGGATTAGCTAGTGGTTCATCATCCATTGTAAACCATTACTAATCAGAAATCATCTAACTACTCATACAGTCACTAGTCCAGTGGTAGGGGAGCCAGGGAGCGATTTATATGGTGAATTATTGATGAGTAATGGTTACTGGATTCATAATGGCTTTGAATAATGATTCTAATATATTTATATACAATATTATTTTAATTATGAGCCATGGTGAGTCAACTGATTTGTTAGTTACAAAAAAATACATAGTCGTATAGTCAGTGAACTTGTTGGTAACTGAATGATAAATATATATATATAACTTGGTTATACTTGATTTAACATCTTAACATGGAGATTGGTAGTTCATTTATGATAGGTGAATCACTTCATAGAAATAGACTGGTCCATTCATGGGCATCCCTAATTATTAATATGGACTGCAATAATCCCCAATACATTGCCCAGCATAAACTCCTGCAATCTGCTTACTGGCTGAAATAGACCATAGCTAAGTGAGTTAGCAAACTGGTTGCTAACTGGGTTATCACCCACGCAATATGTTCAATTGTAAGAGATATATATAACCCAGCCAGGATCACCAATTAACCAACTCCGTGGCAAATCTGAGTGGCGATGTGAGCCTCTGGAAATCTGACATGTTTTTGAAAAATATAACCTGTTCACTTACATACGTTCGTCTAAACATGTTTTCCCTTGTGAACAAATAGTGCCATGATACCCCATGATGTTACGTACTAATTGCATCTAATTACGGAAACCCTGATTGATTGACCAATATGCATAAAATCCTGTTTGAACTGAACCCTCAAATTCAACAACCAAAGGGTTTAATCACTCCGAGGTTGGTGCTATGTACGTACAGGGTACCTGCGTCCTGGGCAACTCAACTCAAAGAACCATTCCAATCGAAAATTTGGGCTTCATTAACATCATTCCAGATGGGGACATAGGCTTTCATAAACAATTGGAGCTGGTTTACAAATGGGTTTGCCGCATTGGAGTTGAGGCTCTGCATGGCAGGAATGGGGTCATGCCTGGACGTCCCCAAGGCACCCAAATTTGGAGCTGATAATCTGAATCGTTAGGTAACTACAACATCACCCACAAAGATAGAAAACAAAAAAGAGACCTACTAACTACTACCGGTGTAAAGCAATTGTAAAATGTGTTTCTATCTTCCTGGGGGTTGTGATGATGGAAAAAAAACGGAAAGATTGCTCCTGGGACCTTGAATACTTTTCAAGCTCGGCAGCTTCACTTAGTGTTGCCTCACAACCCCAGCTTTTTAGGCACCTTTAGCCTCACAATTTGAGGTTGCCAAAGACGCCAGAGGCATGGTCAACTCCAAAACACAGCCAGGATATGGTAGATGATTAACCCATTCACGCCCCATTCTGCGCCCATCTGACCCTGAATATAGGGGCCGAGGCTCTGGATTTCATGGCCGTCTCCTGAGAATTTGGAACATCATGAGTTCACAAGGTCTTATAGTAGCAGGGCTATTAGTGGGTATACGATGGATTATAACCCAGCTACTAATCATTTAACTACTGCCATGGCCCATCTAAGTATGGCAGAAAAAACTAGACGACGGATGGCCCGAGAGCGTAGAGGAGCAGAGTCTTCTTCTGCTGTTAGTATGGCGACACTATATTACAAGACAATATATTAAAGATGTATTACAAGCAGACGAGAAGAGTAGTATCAAGACAATATTATATGGCATCGTATCTTTTGCATCGTATCTTTCAAAAAGTTTTTCACGCACAGAACTTTTTACAGACAGACGCTTTTGCACACAGACGCTTTTACACACAGACGCTTTTACACACAGACACACACACACTTTTACACACAGAGACTTTTACACACAGACGCTTTTACACACAGAAGCTTTTACACACAGACGTTTTTACACACAGACGCTTTTACACACAGGGGCTTTTACACACAGACACTTTTACACACAGACACTATTTTACACCCAGGGACTTTTACACGCAGACACATTTACACAAACACGTTTACACACAAACATTTTTACACACACACAAACACTTTTACACACAGACACTTTTACACACAGAAGCTTTTACACACAGACGCTATTACACACAGACGCTTTTACACGCAAAAGTTTACACACAAACAGTTTTACACACAAACGCTTTTACACAGAGACGCTTTTACACACAGACACTTTTACACCGCTTTTACACAGAGACGCTTTTACACACAGACACTTTTACACACAGACACTTTTACACCCAGAGACTTTTACACTTTTACACGCAGACACATTTACACAAACACGTTTACACACAAACATTTTTACACACAAACACTTTTACACACAGACACTTTTACACACAGAAGCTTTTACACACAGACGCTATTACACACAGACGCTTTTACACGCAAAAGTTTACACACAAACAGTTTTACACACAACACTTTTACACAGAGACGCTTTTACACACAGAAGCTTTTACACACAGTCGCTATTACACACAGACGCTTTTACACACAGACGCTTTTACACACAGACGCTTTTAGACACATCGCAATTTTACTTCAGTTTTTGGCGATCCAACCTCATTTCGTGCGAAAGGGACGTGCAACAGGGTTGCGCGGGACAAGTTGAAATCGCAATTTCACCTCAGTTTTTGCCGATCGAACCTCACTTCGTGCGAAAGGGTTGCGCCGGACGACTTGAAATCGCAATTTTATCTCAGTTTTTGACGATCGAACCTCATTTCGTGCGAAAGGGTTGCGCCGGACGACTTGAAATCGCAATTTTACCTCAGTTTTTGACGATCGAACCTCATTTCGCGCGAAAGGGTTGCGCCGGACGACTTGAAATCGCAATTTTACCTCAGTTTTTGACGATCGAACCTCATTTCGTGCGAAAGGGTTGCACCGGACGACTTGAAATCGCAATTTTACCTCAGTTTTTGACGATCGAACCTCATTTCGTGCGAAAGGGTTGCGCGGGACAAGTTGAAATCGTAATTTTACCGCAGTTTTTGACGATCGAACCTCATTTCGTGCGAAAAGGTTGCGCGGGACACAAGTTGAAATCGCAATTTTACCGCAGTTTTTGGCGATCGAACCTCATTTCGTGCGAAAGGGTTGCGTTTCGTGCCATCTCGTTGCCACTGCCCCTGCTCCCGCCTTCAAGAAAGAAATAGAAAAGAAGGAGAGGGCAAGAGGGCAAGAGGGCAAGAGGGCAAGAGGAGAAGGTGTGAGATGAGAAGATGTAAAGATGAGAAGATGTGAGAAGATGTGAGAAGATGTGAGAAGATGTGAGAAGATGTGAGAAGATGTGAAGATGATAAGATGAGGAGAAGATGGGAGGATGAGAAGATGTGAAGATGAGAAGATGTGAAGATGAGAAGATGTGAAGATGTGAAGATGAGAAGATGTGAAGATGAGAGGATGTGAAGATGAGAAGATGTGAAGATGAGAGGATGTGAAGATGAGAGGATGTGAAGATGAGAGGATGTGAAGATGAGAAGATGTGAAGATGAGAAGATGTTTTACAGGCCCCCACTATTGGAAGAACCCTGCGCTCAGACGCTCGCGGGAACTATATGGAACATGGAAAATGATGGGAATTTCACATCACTACAGAAAATCACCATCATAGGTAAAACATCCGGACAAAAAAACGGTGACCAGCTCCGCTTGCAGCCCCAGCATCTATGGCCACCGTGCGACAGGTGCGCTCATCGAAGCCGGAACTCTTGGTGGCAACAAAGCCCAGCAAACCGCCCACCAGGTGCAGCGCAGCGCAGGCCAACCTCTGGGGATCCGTTGGAGGCACACGGAAGATGGAAAGCGCAGGCCAAGTGGGACATCTTTATTTATGGGTGAGAAATAATCATCCATATGGTCCATAAATATGTCAAATTACTGACGATGCCATCCTTTTTCGTGGGAGAAATTAAGTTGCTCCTGTTTTTTTCAGGAATCCGGGGCTTTAGGGACGATGACAAGTTAGTGAGACTGCCGCATAAAATAGACAGGTCGATTCTTGCAAGTATATGTAGACTAATCACCCGAAAATCTAGGTGACCGTTGGAAGTCAAAACTATGTAAGGAAGAATAGGGCAATACTACTTTGAAACCAAAAATGTTTGCAACATGGCCTGTAAACCAATGACCCATAGCATAAGAAAATCAGCAGAGAAGGTTGCTCCCCTTGAAACTGGCATCACAAGTTGTATCACTGGTTGTGTCTTTGTCTGAGGCAGTGACGTGTGATGTTGAGTTGGCTTTGCCCAAAATAAGCCAAAGCATCTCCGCATGTTTTCCCCTTCAAATTGCCAAACCAAATTGAACAGAAATCAAGAAACATATCCATCTACAAAAACCGACGTTAACCTTTCCCAATTTCCCAACCGCAAATTGAAACTAATTGCAATACTTCCTAAATTTTCTACCCTTAGAACCAGCAATTGTTGGGATAGCTCTCCCTCCCATAAGCGCGGCCGGTCAGGTCGTTCACATTCCATTCACCCACCATGGTTCTATCAATTTTTCCCAGGTCAACTGCCCATTTTTGTCCCATGGTTTCACCTCCAAAATCAATGAATTGGCTCAAGTCCCATTAATCCATGCACTATTAATTATCTATTTTTCATCCTGATATTGCTTCCTGGGTTTTCATAGTTTTTCCTAGTTTTTCCTAGTTTTCCTTGAACTCCTCATATTCTTTCCTAGGTTTTCATAGTTGTTTCACTGGTTGGTGGTATACCTACCCCTGTGAAAAATATGAAAGTCAGTTGGGATGATGACATTCCCAACATCTGGAAAAATAAAAGCCATGTTGCAGACCACCAACCAGCCATAGTTTTTCCTAATTTTCCTTAAACTCCTCATCTTTCCACCGTTTTTGTTACCGCCAACGCCGAGCGGCTGCAAGGGCAGACCAGCCGACTGGATGGGCTCAGCACATTTGGCCACGGACGCGCCCACGAGAAGAACAGTGGAGATCACTCCGACCACCTTGGCTGCGGGTTCCAACGGTGGAGGTTTTCGGTGATTTGTTGAATGATTTATGGAAGATTGGGGATTTATGGGGCGATTGATGTGTGATATTTTTGGGTGATTTATATGAATTATTGGTGGTTTATGGGTGATTTATGGAACTTATATCGGGTTTACATGAATCTAGTGGTGATTTACCATGTGGTAATCAAACGTGGCAATAGGAAATCCCTGAACTAAATGATGATGCAAATGGAGCTCTTAGGGGGAACATGATCTAGATTTATGGGGGATTGTCCATTGCTATGTTTGATTACCTGATGGTGTTGGCCGATGATTCGTTAATGGTTATTTCATTGATATTTGAGCGGTTTTTTTCCGCGGCGATTCACGCAACTCACAGCTGGTCAATGACAACTACTGATGATTATCCTTCAGGAAACCAACATATCCATATCAGACCTATCTACCAAATGCCCTACCACCAAGGTAGCCAGAGATCACTAAAACATACTTAATACTAAAACATGGCCAAGCTGCCAAGTTGATATACCACACCAAAAACAAGAAGAACACACCGATTAAACGACCGACCGTCTTGGCCCAGCGGCTGGAGTGAAGGGAGACACAGCCTCCACCAGTTCCATGGCGCTATAATGGGTATGACTTAAAGATCTTATAGGAATAAAAAGGAATAATACATGTTATCGGAATATAATGGACATATATGTACACACACATGAGTATGTATATATATAATTATATATATATATATATATATATATCGGGAATGTAATGATAATGCAGTGGGAATTCTTACAAACCATGGGATAAATGGCTGGTTTAGTCTGGGATAATCGTTATTACCAGGCGCTATGGTCAAGAAATTAAATGAAAATATTGGATTCATAGGACATAAACACATTTAATAATTGATTGATAAAATAAAACAAAATACCATCTGGTTATTTAACGTAACCATGGAAAATCACCATTTTTAATAGGTAGACCCAGGTAAAGCATCTATTTCTATGGGCCATCTATACCATGGCTATGTTAGTCATAACCAGAGGGCAGTTCTGAGAACATCCCTGGCCATAAAACCGGGAATCCACGGAATCCAAGTGTTTTCACCATGGATCACCATGACACATATGCAATACACAATCAACATACTACAAACACTACACGAGAAACACACAAAAAAAAACACGATCGATAGAAACACTGATGGTACAGCTGCTGCAGCATGCTCTATATATTTCTATCTGTCTGTCTATCTATCTATCTGTCTGTCTATCTATCTATCTATCTATGTATCTATCTATCTATCTATCTACCTATCTACCTATCTACCTATCTACCTATCTACCTATCTACCTATCTACCTATCTACCTATCTACCTATCTATCTATCTATCTATCTATATTTCTCTCTATCTCTCTATCTCTCTATCTATCTATCTATCTCTCTATCTCTCTATCTCTCTATCTCTCTATCTCTCTATCTCTCTATCTCTTTATCTCTCTATCTCTCTATCTCTCTATCTCCCTATCTATCTATCTATCTATTTATCTATCTATCTATCTATCTATCTCTCTATCTCTCTATCTCTCTATCTCTCTATCTATCTATCTATCTATCCATCCATCCATCCATCCATCCATCTATATATACTGAATGTTTGGAAATGCAGGCTTGTCCTTGCAATTTCACTGCACAGATCCGCGCACAGATCTATCTACACTTTATTTGCCTCGACCCCTTACTATCATTCAATATGATAAGACACACACACTAGACAAGAATGGATCATTATATGATCCGGCAGGAACTGAATCCTGAAATGTGCAAACCAGCCTAGACCATTCGTTTTACGTTGGAGACTCTTGTAGTACTTCTCGAAACCGAAGTAGAACATCCAATATTGTCCAACAGAGTTCAAACCAGATTCCAACAATACATCAGCGACATGACAAGGCAAAATAATCAAAATACAATCGGCGACGTGGCTCGGCGAAATAATCACAAATACTGTCGGCGACATGGTTTCGGCGAAAATACAGATTGTGGCAGCCGTGGAGAAATAAAATCATGGTGTCGGGGTACTTGGCTTAGCCCCTCGCCATTCACACGCAATGATTGCAAAATAATGAATTCGATAGCTTGTTCAACAGTTCAAAAAATCGCAGGTACGTTTTCACCCCCCATGCTGTCTGGTCTTCGTTGGCCAGGACAGACAGTCATGGGTTCCTGGCCCCCTGCACTAGATTTAAAACCCTTGCACTAGATTTAAAAAGGGAGAGGACAGAAGGAAGAAAAAGAGAGAAGTTTTACATCTATTTAGATGTTACACACACACACCCGGCCAGAGCCGGGTCAACCCTGAAAGGGAAGAGGAAGAAAAAAGCGGACACACGAAGGGCAAACGGCCAAAAACAGCGCAGGGGGGGGAGGGGAACAGACGGACCTCCGGAACCAACCTACACGGCGAAACGGACCTAACCAAAACAGCGCACAAACCTAAACCCCACGACACATTACGGAGAGGCACGCGGGGAAATTAGGGACCAAATGGGGGACTAGTTGATGACAGACAGGAAAACCAAAACAAATAGTAAAACAACAGGATTCAGCTCCTAAAACCTAGAAGTCGTGCGTTGTGCCACTCCAGGCCCGTGTTCAAGTCAGCCACAAGGGCATATAACAGCTTTCAAGTTCCAACGAATTAGGTGCACAATATGTTTCACCTCACCAGACAACCAACAAAAGAAAGAGACCACACCTAAAAGTCGTGTGCCTGCCTGGATCCTTGAGTATGTTGTAATGCCACTGTCATGACAAAAGCTGCAAGCGCAAAAGGAAGTTTCTGGATGTTCGGCACAGCTTCACTCAGTAGAAATGCGTTCCACGGGGTTCACAAAGGACAGCCGGAGCAGCAGGAGATCTCAAAATGGCTGAAAAACAGCAAGGCGATCTGTTGCACTTTACTTAAACGAATTACTAATTCAAAAGTGTAAATTCAGAAATCAGGTCAGTCGACATTGACCCCAACTGGGGTTGCCTCAAATGGCCCTATGGCACCATGTCGGAGTCACCATAGGAATCACACTAGACAAGAATGGATCATTATATGATCCGGCAGGAACTGAATCCTGAAACGTGCAAACCAGCCTAGACCATTTGTTTTACGTTAGAGACTCTTGTAGTACTTCTCGAAACCGAAGTAGAACATCCAATATTGTCCAACAGAGTTCAAACCAGATTCCAACAATACATCGGCGACATGACAAGGCAAAATAATCAAAATACAATCGGCGACGTGGCTCGGCGAAATCACAAATACTGTCGGCGACATGGTTTCGGCGAAAATACAGATTGTGGCAACCGTGGAGAAATAAAATCATGGTGTTGGGGTACTTGGCTTAGCCCCTCGCCATTCACACGCAATGATTGCAAAATAATGAATTCGATAGCTTGTTCAACAGTTCAAAAAATCGCAGGTACGTTTTCACCCCCATGCTGTCTGGTCTTCGTTGGCCAGGACAGACAGTCATGGGTTCCTGGCCCCCTGCACTAGATTTAAAACCCTTGCGCTAGATTCAAAAAGGGAGAGGACAGAAGGAAGAAAAAGAAAGAAGTTTTACATCTATTTAGATGTTACACACACACATATATATATATATAGATATATAAGTATATATATAATATGTATATACACAAACACTTGGGTGTGAGAACCAAGCCTAGGTACTCAAAAGTTTCAAAAAATGCATGGTTTACTAACAGCATCAACACATCCACACATCCCGACAGGATCAGATCGCACCTTGCAGAGCTTGGGCGCCAGGGTGTTGAGCCCCACACCCAAAAAGATGGGGAACAGCACCACTTGGAAGGTGGACCAAACGATACCTGGCTGATTGAAGGACAACTCAGACTGGAATTTCGGTGGTTTCTATCGAACAACAATGGAGAAGGGAGGCTACACATCAAATTGTTATTTATGATATATGTTCATCACAAACAATATGCAAACACAATTATGTGCATGTTATGATGTATGCCAATGGTCAATCCAAACAATGTTCCTTGAAATGGCGGGAACTGCTGGAAGCAAGCCTTAATCTTACCATGTATACCTGGATCTTCCTCGGTTACAAATTTCATCAAATTTCTGTCCAGGGCAGACTTTGGTTTGATTTCTGTCCATTTTCTTTAGATTTGTCAATTTCAAAATAAAATGACCATTTCAGGAATTTCCGCCCAGAAAAATCGATACATTTTTACGCAAAGTAGAGTGAGATCAGCCCAAAAGGTACGACATACAAAATTGACCACTGTAGTTAAAAAATGACCATTTCCAGGTCCTTCACAAGAAATCCGCCCTAAGGGCAGAAATCTTGCAAACGGACAATTATTTGTGTCCTTTCTTAAGATCCAGGTATGTATTGTCGATCGGCCATCCTCAAACTTGGACTTTCGACCTTCTGGTACATTCCAAATGACATAGCGACACATAAATATGAAACCACGGTTGGTGGCCTAATCCCAACTCAAGAATATCTGAATATCAATCAATGTGGATCATTCATTCCCTCAAATGGGATGGAACACATTCAATCAACTAACGGTGTGGTGCCTCAAAAGACCGTGCCTCAAAATTGGATTTATTGAGTTGTGACCTATACCCATTATCCACATCCTTGGTTGGCTACATTCTCATAATGTATGCCATGTGTTGTTTGTTTAATTCCTGTTGAATACTAACGTCCGCAAACAATAAAAAGTGATTTACCCAAGTAAAACTATGTACATATATATATATATGTATGTCAAGATGTCAAATAAATATAATTAATATATTACATGTTAAATTGCTGAATAGCAACCTCCAAAAAATAATTTATTTGAATTTGAATTTGGTTGGGTTTTCACTTTTCTGCATCTAGCCTTTTGGAGTTGCAGTTGCTACCACACCAGAAAGCCAGTTGTCAAGTCGTTTTTGCCGCCTGCGGCATCGACGGGAACCACTGCACCCAGTACCAAGTGGCCTCAATGAACAGGAAGGAAGTCCAGCATCAGCACAGCTGTGGATGCACCCCATCCATTGGAAATCAAATTCGTTTGGTGAAAAAAGGTGTCAAATGGTGTAAATGTGGTTCAACCCATCCCATGAATATGAATCTACATGGAACACTTTTTGCAAGTAAATATGTTGTTCCACATCCACATCCGCGTTATTCGGTGCACCCTTCACCTTCGTCCGAGGAACAAATCAAGGGTGTCATGAAAATGCATCCCAGGGTGGTGGACGTTGTCATCAGCACCTGGGGCCGTCAGACCATTTCCCTTGGAGTTTTCCGACATTTTGCACATCAGCACGGTGAAATTGAGATAAATTAAGCATCGTTGTTCAGCGTAAAGAAACCAGGCATGCAAAAAATCATGCTTTACTTCGAGTTATCCCTACCATGACATTTATACGTTTTGTTACTGGCAAATCTTCTGGCATATCTTCTGGCATTCTATCTGACATTTTATCTGGCATTTTATCTGGCATATCTTCTGGCATTCTATCTGGCATATCTTCTGGCAGTCTACCTGGCATATCTTCTGCAAAATGTTCTGGCATATCTTCTGGCACTCTATCTGGCATATCTTCTGGCATATCTTCTGACATTTTATCTGGCATTCTATCTGGCAAATCTTCTGGCATTCTATCTGCCAAACATTCTGGCACTTTATCTCGCATATCTTCTGGCATTCTATCTGACATTTTATCTGGCATTCTATCTGGCATACCTTCTGGCATTCTATCTGGCATATCTTCTAACATTTTATCTGGCATATCTTCTGATATTCTACCTGGCATATCTTCTGGCATTTTATCTGGCATTCTATCTGGCATTCTTCCTGGCATTCTATCTGGCATATCTTCTGGCATATCATCTGGCAAATCTTCTGGCATTCTATCTGGCAAACATTCTGGCACTTTATCTGGCATATCTTCTGGCAATCTATCTGACATTTTATCTGGCATTCTATCTGGCATACCTTCTGGCATTCTATCTGGCATATCTTCTAACATTTTATCTGGCATATCTTCTGGCACTCTATCTGGCATATCTTCTGGCATATCTTCTGACATTTTATCTGGCATTCTATCTGGCATATCTTCTGGCATTCTATCTGGCCGTTGAGGTCCAGCGGTGCACACTGAGCTGGGCAGGTCCCAGGTTGAGGTCCAGAGGTGCACACTGAGCTGGGAAGGTCCCAGGTTGAGGTCCAGCGGTGCACACTGAGCTGGGCAGGTCCCAGGTTGAGGTCCAGCGGTGCACACTCAGCTGGGAAGGTCCCAGGTTGAGGTTCAGCGGTGCACATTGAGCTGGGAAGTTGGCAAAGAGCTTGGCCAAGAGTTGGCAAGGCGGAAGTTGAGGTGGAAGTTGATGCAGACATGGTCGAGGAGAAGCAGGCGGAGGAGAAGGAGGAGGAGGAGGACAGCTAGCCGAGGCGGAGGAGGAGGATGAGGAAAAGAACAACTCTGATAAAATCTAACAACCCTCACCTGGCAGGTGGGGAAACAATCAAAGCTGGATAATCTTGGGTAGATAATGATTTAATGGGTGTATATATAAATAAACGTACATACATAATATGTATATATACTTGATTATATACCTATATATCCGAATACACTTGCATGTTGTTACATACCAGGACAAAAGTTGTTCCTCTTGACTAGTTGCTGCAACCCTCTGCCCTTAGACTCCTGACATGTTTCATATGAGTCACATGGCGGATCGCGGATCAGTTGCTTTGCTTAAACAAAACATAATTTATTCCGAATTGAAATACGATCCGCCACGCAGGCCAAGCGAAATCAGGATAATTGATCCGCGGCTGAGGGTCATGATGTTTATGACGCTAAACGGGAGAAACCTTTCTTCCTCCTGATGTATGCAAAGAGCCATCACAGAAACCACACATGTTCCCACCCTCACAGGGCTGTCAAACTTGTAACGCTGAAGCAGCCCATTGACCCATTCCAACCGGTGCCGGTGCCCAGTGACGCTCAGAGCTACGTCCCCACCAGCGATCAAAGTGCAAAGGTTTGACGCTTGTCCGCCGTTGATGGATCCAACCAGTACCAGACCTGGACCACTGGACCAGTCCAAAGGATTGAAAGGATATGAGAGGACCATCCCACAGCTGAAACGAAATCTGGCACACAAAGGCCTCAAAGGTGGCTTTGCTTTATATTAAAACTTCTTGCATGTGACGCTTTCCAGGTTCATTTTGGGTTATGCTGGGGGCCTCTGTTTAAGGGTCCCCACGGTTGAGAAACACACAGTCAGGTGGTGCGATGTAGTGACATTGCCGTGAAGTTTGGAAGAACTGAAATCCAACTATAAATAACAAGAATCTCAACAAATAGTTTTTAGATGTTTTTAGATCTTGCCGCTGACCACCCTACACATGTCCGCAATTTCCAGAGTGCGTTGCTAGACCCTACAGTAAATACGATAATGTCAAGTCCGAATTAATTATTCAAGATTCCTTTCACAAGATAGAGTCCCAAGAAGTATAGTGAGTATCGTGTGATAAACGGGTGAAACAAATGGTACCCGTGGTACCCGTGGTACCCGTGGTACCCTCCTTAGTCAATGAAGGGTTGATCAATCCCACGCCACCTGCCAGAATCGGACCATCCGCTCCAATGGCTTTTGCCAATACCTGACGTGCCAGCGGGGTTCCTGCATGGTGCGAAACATTGAAAGTGTCATACTCAGCATATTATGTAGAATGACTATAAAATACTATGATGTATTGTTATGTTTAGACATTATTAACTATTACTATATGATTATGTTTTATGTATCAACTATTGTCAACTTACAACCCAACATGTTCACAGCTGGGTTTCCAACACATTCCACGAAAACAATTGGTATGAAATGTGCTTGGCTTGGATGGAAGAGTCACTAACAACATCTACCCTCTGGTAAACATACAAAAAACTATGGGAAATCACCATGTTCAATGGGTACAATAAATCCACTATAAATGGCAATGTTCAATAGCTATGTTAAATTACCAGAAGGTAACAACATCTAACAACCATTTAAAACGACCAGAGTTTATGTTTGCTAATCTACAACTGTTCAAACCCTTAAGCATCCACCACCTTACCAGTACTGTAGAAAGATCGGTGCATACGACTTGAGCACCCACCGATGGCGTGGGAAGGAATCACGCAACAGCCTGTAGCATTGTGGCTCAGGATCAATATTGGATGATTGCTGTTGGACTTGCAATTCCTCAAGCCTAAGCTCAAGTCATGACAGTGGCTTAAGCCTATAGACTCACCTAATGAAATTGGGCCTATTCTGGCCTTTTTTCGTTACGACTTACGACCCATTTCCGGCCCAACGCGCCAAGAGACATATGCCAACACCGGGGTGATGACATAGCAGGAGATGAAATTGATGGCCTCCAAAGGCTTGTTTTGGGAGTCGGTCGGGTGGACTCTCTGGTCTTAGTGTGTCTGTCATGGTTCAAATCTAAATATATGTGCAAATATATGCAAATCTAACATAATTTTATGCAATAATATGTGTATACATATAATATATATAATATATATGTGTATATATAATATTCAACCATGTTTTAGTTTTGGCAACATTTAATATATAATATACCAATCTTCTAAACATAGCCTGGGCCCAAAGCATGTGGTGATTACAGATCGAGCAGGCCACCAAGGAAACTTGCCTTTAGCAAGACATCAGACACAAAATGACCAGCGATCGTGGGATATTGGTGGATCTTCTGGATCCCAGCCGTCCCAACCTCTCTACCTACAACGCAAAAACACCAAGGCACGATTGCACCAGGTCGTTTCAGGCATTCCTTGAAGTCGGCAATGGTGGTCGTGATGCCAACCGAGAACATGAGAAGTCCCAACCTCCAGCACCGAGCCAGGAGCGACAGTACATGCCAGTTATTTGGCGATGAACAGGCATAAATGGGAAATATTCGGAAATGACATATATAACGAGAAAATAAGCTTAGTTATAGGAGTTGTCATCCCATTTATAACTGGCTATAGGCTAGAGATTATAGGGCCACAACATAACTGTACATATATTAAGTAGTTTGCAAGGCTGGCTGTAAGTGGGTTAAGTACAAAAGTTTGTCTCCTTAGGAGAGGCTTAAAATCATGCAGAAACTGCCGGGATCGTCCCAGAAAACGTTCAACCGCCAAGCCACAAAGTGGTAAAGTACTGGGACTTGACCCACGTAAAGGTGGCCTAAGCAGTGCTCCAAAATGTCCACATTTGGAGCTGTGTGCCGTCATGACACTTCAAAGGCTTGCAAGCAAGTCATGGATCAGCAAAAGTCACAGCTCTTTCTCCTGCGATTTTCCAAGATTCTCTAGATTCCGACCTCAAATTTTCAGGAGATCAGATGCATCCCAGCATCAGCCACCTCAAAGCCAGTGTATGTCCTTCTCTTCAAATGGCAACCCGCCCAAGCGCTGCAGCCTGGTGGCCGCATCCTCTTTCTGAAGCACCTCCCAGCGCCGAAACTTCCCCGCCTGAGCGCACTTGCACAGCGTCACTGTCAGATGCGGCGAAGAGAAGGTCCAACTGGACTCGCTCGGACGGATGCTGTGCGCCAGGTCACCTTCAAACAGCAGCTGCTCCTGCACGTGCACCGACAGCCAGTCCTGCTTGAAGTTCACCGAAACGTCTTTGCTGCGGATGTGACCTGGAAGGGTCCAATGAGCATGGACCTCTTCCCTCTGATCCTCCAGCTGAAAGTCTGCAAACATGCCATCCTCTGGTTCTGCTTTGAGTTCTGACTTCTCGCCTTGGCGTTTTGCCAAGTATTCGGCCACCAAGGGGCTTTCCGCATGATTTTTGAGCCAGATTTCCAGCTCCTTTCCAAGGTCCTGGGACTCACAAAGCTGCACCAGCATGGCCGCTGCCCGACCATCAGCAGGTCGAGCCGTTAGGAGCTGCCGCAGTGGCACTGTGGCCTCGAAAGGGTGCTGCATCACTGCATGAATGCAGGCAGCCTCCAGGTAGGCCTCCCAATGACCAGGGCACAGCTCCAACACCTTTGAAACAGCTTCCAGGGCCCTGTGGTGAAGGCCCAATTGCCGGAACACCCCAGCAAGTTCGGTCAAAACGAACGCCACCTTCCAGAGATCCACTGTTGTCCGCTGCAAGAACTTCAAGCACATCGAAGCTGCTGCAGCAACGGCACTTGCATCAGCGCTTGGGCCAGCAAGCCGAGCATTGTGGACCTGCAAAATACTGTCCTCCATCTCTGCACGCCGGAACATGGTGCAGCTGGGCGGTGTGCATTCCGAAGCGGCTGGAAAAGAAAACCATCTACCCGATGGCAGCCCATTGTCCGCCCTGCTGGCTGTGTTGAAGAATCCCACTGCACCCTTTCCAATGACCCAGCCCTTGTCAACAGACTCAGGTCCAGCATTTTTCCTGGACATAGTTTCCAAAGACAATCTGAAACCAAAAGAATTCTCAAAGACAACAAACTGGTTGGAAATGACACGGCTGGGCTCATACACTCCATCGACGTTTGGCATGCTGCACCCTGACACTTTGACAGCTACAATCAGATCACATTTTGTTGGCCCCAGATCGGCTATATGACTTGCCTTTTCTTTCACATCTGCATCTTCACAGTCAAGAAAATTGGGAAAGAATTGCTCCGGCAATACCGTGCCTTCTCCCAGTTCTTGCAATATTCTTTCGCAAGCCTTCTGTATTTGGCCCCCCTTCTCACCAAGCATCCTGAGGACCATGTGGCATTGTCTTGCAGCAAGTCTGGCTTCACTGGGCTGCAAGGCATCGCGGAGGATGCGCGTCTTCAACAACAAAGCTTCAGGGCAGCTGGGCCAAAGCTCCTGGGCCGCCCTGAGCTGCTTCAAGGCCTGCTCCATCTGCTCGCAGTCGTGGAGGAGGGTGGCTACCTCCACCCTCAACTGGGCACATTGCTGCCAGGGCAGGCCAGGACCCATGGATTTTTGGAAGGCCTCAACGGTGACCGCCAGCTGCGGGTTGGATGTTTTGGCACGGCTGGCCCTTTGCCGCGCTTCTTGGAGATAGGCTTTGGCAGCAGCATCTGGGTCATCCTTGATGAAATGCAGAGAGGGCCCTGGAGGTGAAGCCTGAAAGCACTGCCAATCACCTGATGGAATTCGATCCTTCTGGGACATGGAGCCATATGCAGGAACGCCTCCCTGACCAATGATCCATCCCCAGTGAAGCTTTCCAGACTCATCTGGAGACTGGCAAACTGACAAGCTGAAATCACTCAAACTGCCATAAACCGGACAATCCTCATGGAAAAAGCCCTCCTGGATTGCAAAAACACCATTGATGTCTTCAGAACCAGCTCCGGTCACAACAACGTAGTCCGGCCAGCCCGCCATTGAGTCGATATACTGTACATTATATATATATAAATAAAATTAATTAAAATTATATATGTCCAAATTTGAACACCTGACTTCAATTGGCACAGGCTGTCGCTGTGTGAGCTGTTCCAGTGCTGGAGGACCCCACACAGCACCCAAAGACCCAATAATCCAGTGGAATTGGTTCGACCTAAATTTCTAAGCTTTACATGGAACGCAGCATGCCCAACACATATTGCCATGAAGGGGTGACGTGCCAACGAGTATGGCCCAAATGGGGAATATAAGCTAACATGAGCTCACTAACCCTGCAATAGAGATATTGGCGAATACTCTTTATTAACATCTCGGTGTCCGCCTAGCAGTTATTACATGTAATGCTTTTTGGGAGCCCTTTGGCCATCAAACCCTGCAATTGAGCCGAAAGGGTCGAAAGCCAAAGCTCAAGTCATCCAGGAGCCCAACATGACTATCATCTGGGCTGTGAGCCCTCAGAAGCAAAAGGGAGCCAGCAAACTCAGAAACTCCTGAAATTTGGATGACTTAGAACAATTCACAGGTTTAAAAGCAACGGCCATTTTGGGATACCCTTTGCTAACCATCAAGTGACGTCGCAGGGTCCGGTCGTACAAATGAATGCTGTAAACATGTCCACCTTGGTCCAACCCGATCACCCTGCTGGGGGCAATCTCTTGGATTACTTAAAGAACGGAAACAGTGTCAAGAATCGGGAGCTGTCAACAAACCACCCACCTGCATGGGCTTGCTGGTAAAACCCAAGCCAGCTGAGCTGGCTCCAGTGTGAGAATACCATGTCTTTGAAACCTACTTGGATGGGCATCCATTGTTAGCACATGTTAGTGTGCTAGTGCAGCGCAGCATAGTACAATTGTATAACTCAGTCATCCATGAAACAATCCCAATTTCACACTACATGCGCATCAAACGTATCATTGAACAACAAATTCGCAGATCATGTGCATATATATATATTATTTATGCATCTCCCTCTCTCTTTCTCATTTTTGCAAATAAGTGCGTATTGTAACGCAGTCTAACACTAATTAATTACATACATTGTGATCCAGAAGTCCCTAATTATCATATCTATATAAAGTATAAGGTTTCTGACCAAATTACTGTACTTACTGTACTTGGGTATCATCCATCCACTTGAACGGTTCCCCCGTACGCCGCCGATTGAAATCCCGAGGAGCTGGTTGCTTCAATGCGGCAATGGCCGAAAGGGCCAGCCATACGGCGAAAAGGTTGCAAAACCTGGTGACATTGCGTCGCTTCGAAAGGATGTAGGATTTTTAATGGGATTTCAATGAGATTTAATGTGATTTTAGTGAGATTTCGAAAGGGCTCACCAACCACAAACATGTGATTTCATGTGATGCCAAGCGAATTCACGTAACAAAAAAAAGGATGTATATAACCACTAATATTGGCATACATTGGGGTAAATCTGATATACTTTGATTTTAATGGGATTCAACAAAAATGGAATATTATAACCATTAATGCTGATTATAACCATGAACCACCACCACTTGTGTTAGTGGTGCACCCAGCTATTGTTGGTCGGTCATAAAGCCTATTTCGCCCTCTCCGGGAGTTCAGCATCTTGCTGAAGGCGAGCTATGATGCAAGCCTATAATCGACGCTATTTAAATGTCTGTCTGTATGTATGTCTGTATCTATGTCTGTATCTATGTATGTCTATGTATGTCTATGTATGTCTAGGTATGTCTATGTATGTATGCATGTATGCATGTATGCATGTTTGCATGTATGCATGTCTGCATGTCTGCATGTATGCATGCATGCATGCACGCATGCATGGATGGATGGATGGATGGGTGGATGGATGCATGGATGCATCCATGGGCCAATATGGGCAAGTTACCCAAGTTTTGTCCATGGCGCATAGGTTTGTTTGTTCTTTAATAATTAACCTGGAAAATTGCTGCTTAGTCCCATCAAAATTGCTAAACAAAAAAAACATCCAGTTCATATACCCAGTTAGTTAAATCGAATGCAAATTTCATCCGGGAGTTCCAAGCTTGGAGCGGAACCCTCACAGAACTACTGCGTTGAATTCACCTTCAGAAACCTCCACTGCAGGGACGGTTTGTGCATATTTATGCCAACTATATCCCTATAATGTTGAACACCCAAAATGACTAGATCCAATACTTTGATTTATAATGGGATTCAACAAAAATGGAATATAAATATAACCATGAAATAATGCTGATTATAAGTCCATGAACCACCACCACTTGTGTTAGTGGTGCCCCAGCTATTGTTGGTCGGTCCAAAGCCTATTTCTCTCTCTCTCTCTCTCTCTCTCCATCCCCTCTCCGGGAGTTCAGCATCTTGCTGAAGGCGAGCTATGATGCAAGCCTATAATCGACGTATTTAAATGTCTGTCTGTATGTATGTCTGTATCTATGTCTGTATCTATGTATGTCTATGTATGTCTATGTATGTCTAGGTATGTCTATGTATGTATGCATGTATGCATGTATGCATGTTTGCATGTATGCATGTCTGCATGTCTGCATGTATGCATGCATGCATGCACGCATGCATGGATGGATGGATGGATGGGTGGATGGATGCATGGATGCATCCATGGGCCAATATGGGCAAGTTACCCAAGTTTTGTCCATGGCGCATAGGTTTGTTTGTTCTTTAATAATTAACCTGGAAAATTGCTGCTTAGTCCCATCAAAATTGCTAAACAAAAAAAACATCCAGTTCATATACCCAGTTAGTTAAATCGAATGCAAATTTCATCCGGGAGTTCCAAGCTTGGAGCGGAACCCTCACAGAACTACTGCGTTGAATTCACCTTCAGAAACCTCCACTGCAGGGACGGTTTGTGCATATTTATGCCAACTATATCCCTATAATGTTGAACACCCAAAATGACTAGATCCAATACTAAACACGGGCGTCTAAGTCTAGTGGAAAGGATTATTTGATCCTAGCAATCTTGGGGGTGGTTTGTGAAACCAACAACTGGTTGCCTGGAGGACATCCCTTGAGCAAACCGAACCCAGGCCACGGCATGTCCAACTGCAACAACAGCACGGATGTTGGGGTAAACCACGAAAAAACATAAATATATATATATAATATACATATATATAATTACATGAAATGTGATTCGACTATATGATATTTTCCCCTTTCTTGTCTGAGATCACCAAACACTGTCTCGTCACCACCCAGTTCTCAAGTCGTGACACATGGTGCTGATTTTCTTCACGGTGATCCCAAAGTTGTCCTTGGAGGGGTGGGACCATGAGGCCCATCGTGCTGCATCCCAAAATCTCAAGTGTTTCCGATGACTCCTGGAGTGTTCCTTGAAAATCCCACAGCCCTCGCAAAGGCGGGATGCTATTTGAATCACCTTGATTCCAACCCAACAGAAGATTCCAGTTGTCTGAGTTTATGCCAAGCCATCCTAGCAGGTTTCAATATTTCCGATTTTTGTCTTGGATGATACTCTTCAGCTAGGCAGAAAGAAACAAGTAAAACCTCAGTGGCTGTATGGTATTCCTCCATTTGGTCCATGACCCATGACAAAGCATTAGCAAAAAATATCCAAAAATGATTCAAAGTAATTATTATCATTAAACAATAACTGGTCGACAATTAGCCAACATGTTCCTTCATTTTAGCAGTTCAGTTGATTGGCTGTATAACCATCAACCGACAAGTATTTCCGAATCCGTCAAATCATCACCCATTAAACCACCATTGACCAACATTAAGCATTAAACAACTTAACTACCACACCATGTTCGATGATCTATTAACCATGGACCAACAGCATTAACCACCCCTAATAGTATGACCAAATTGGTTGGATACACCGTCCCCAAATGGTAGGTTTATCAAAAAAATCAGCAACTCATAATAACCATCAACCAACCATGACTATAACAATGAACAATCCATGATATATATATATATAAATATACATTGACCATCATTACCGTCCGGTAAACCCATTTAATTTCCTATGGAGAATGATTCATTTAGTTTGATAAATTATCTATCACATATGGTGCTGTTCCATCGCAAACGGGCCACGGGTAAACTATCACAAAATGACCAGTCACCAATATTGAAAATAAAATAACACATCAATTTATAATCTATAATCAGTCATCATCCGTTAATCCACAATCGACCAACAACAACTTGTAATTGCTTAAGGAACCCATCAAACAAATCACACCACCCGCATATATTCAAATATAGAAGTATGACCATTAAAACTCATTAAAACATATCACCATTCAAAATCCATTTGCCAACCATTTTGTAACCATTGGCCAGCCAATCATTCATCATATAGTCATCATGATATCAATGAACCAACATTATATCAATGGACCGATTAAAACTATATAACTGTATAACCATCATCTACTTATCTACCCAAAATTACCATAATTGTATAATTAACTATATAAATCTATATAAAGCATGATAAAACCGTCATCGTTATAACTATATACTACATTACCATACCTATATACCTAGATTCATCTATAAAACCATAATCTTAGTTTCACTACATTACCATAAGTATCTATATATACATATATATATACACATAACTTCTATAAACCATTGTAAATCTATATTACAATCATCAACCAACTTTCATCCTCCAAGTAGTCCTGAGTGATATAATAACTATCATAACTAAAACTATCAACTAGTGTCTACTCATGTATCATTATATACCTATTACCAACTCCTCCAAGTCTCCTGCGACTTCCAGCCCATCTGGCTGCTGGCGCCCAGCAGCGCCGAGGTCAGCACGGCGCCGCCGATCAAAGGCCGCAGCTGGCGCAGCGTCCGCAGCGTCTCGGGACCAACGTCCTCCGGGGCCGTAAAGGCGGGCCTGGGGCGGCGCTGGTGTAGTTTGGCCAAGAGAAAATGGTGGATTTTTGCGTATGGTGTTTTATATACTTGTATGGTGGCCAATAGATTTATATATATATATATATATGGTGATCATATCTATTTATATTATATATATATATATATGTATGTATACGCATATATATATATATAAGTGTGTATTATGTATATGTTGTTTGTTTCTGATTGTGATTTATGTGGTACTTCATGAGGTGATGTAATTATATGGTCACGCATCTAGTGTTTCATACTGTTTCTTAGGTGATGTTGTTTTGCTCTTAATATGGTTTTATGAGATGCTCATGGTATATGTTTGTGATTTGTGGAAATTTTGGCGGGCAATCAAATCTGAAATCTTCGGACAACTTGAACAAATCACCAGCATCTGAGTTGAACAAAAAGAGAGGTATTATGTATATATATATATAAATAATATATAATAATATAATAATATGCCCCATGTGACCTACTTTAAATTATACCGGGTATTGAAAACACAGCAGTTTAGAGCACCAAACAATGGAGGAGTTGGAGGATTTAAGATTTAGTTAATAGATATGAGGCTTTAACCGAGGTATTTATTCTGATATAGCATGCAGGATTTGAATAATTTCACCAGCAAAGCTGGGATATGTATTCGCCTGTGCCTTCATGTCACCGGTAGAATCGGGGAACACATCAGAATTTCATTAAAAACAAATGGATATTCAATGACATCCATGCATATATACATCCACACACACACACTGTATAGACTCGAACTGCCACATGGTGAAAAAATGAACAAAACAAGGTCCAGGTCCAAAAACGGCAAAGCTGGCAGTCGAAGAGCCCCAAAGTGGCGGCGCGGGACGCGGCAAAGGAGCAAAGAGAGGGAAACGAGTATCCGACCTATCCTATTTATCCTATCTATCATATCTATCTTATCATCTTATCGATCTAATCTATCTAATCTATCTAATCTATCTAACCTACCTAATCCATCAAATCTATCTATTCTTGCTATTCTAAAGTTTCTATCCATTTCGATCTATTCTATCGATTCTATCTATTCTATTTATTCTATCTATTCTATATTTTCTATATATTCTATCTATTTTATTTATTCTATCTATTCTATATATTCTATCTATTATATCTATCCTATCTATTCTATATATTCTATGTATCAAATCGATCGATCGATCCATCGATCGATCTATCTATCTATGTATCTATCTATCTATCCATCCATCCATCTATCTATCTATCCATCCATCGATCTATCTGTCTATCTATTTATCTATATATTTATCTGGTCTATCTAAACTATCTATTCTATTTAATGTATCTATTCTATCTAATCTATCTGATCTATCTAATCTATCTAATCTATCTGATCTATCTAATTTATCTGTTCTATATACTATATCTAATCTATCTATCTATTAATCTATCTTAATCTATCTATCTTAATCTATCTATTAATCTATCTATCTATCTAATTCTATCTATCTATCTATTAATCCTAATTTATATAGCTAATAATATTCTATCTATATATTTATCTATCTAATCTATCTATCTATCTATCTATCTATCTAGTATATCTTTCTATCTGTCTATCTGTCTATCTGTCTGTCTGTCTATCTGTCTATCTGTCTATCTGTCAATATATTTCTCTAATTTATCTATTTCTCTCTCTCTCTCTGTCTATATATCAACAAAAAATATCAACAAAAAATAATCAAACAAAAACATCCGTCCGTCCATCCATCCATCTATCTATCTATCGACCTATCTATCTATCTACCTATCTACCTATCTGTTCCATCGATTTATCTAACCTATCATCTAATCTCGCTAAACTCTCTAATCAGTCTAATCTCTCTAATCTCTCTAATCTACCTAATCTACCTAGTCTATTCAATCTATCTAATCTATCTAATATATCCAATCTATCTAATATATCCAATCTATCTAGTATATCCAACCTATCAATTCTATCTGATCTATCCAATCTATCTAATCTATCTGATCTATCCAATCTATCTAGTCTATCTAATCATCTGATCTATCTAATCTATCTAATCTATCTGATTTGTCTGCTCTATCTGATCCATCCAAACTATCCAAGCTATCAAATCTATCTAATCTATCTAACCTATCTAATCTGATCTATCTTATCTATCTCATGTATCTAATCTATCTAATCTATCTATTCTATCTAATCCATTCGATCTATTCGTTCTATTCGGTCTATTCGATCTATAGATCTATCGATCTATCTATCTATGTATGTATCTATCAATCTATCAATCAATCAATCCATCCATCTATCTATCCTATCTATTCTTTCTATCCTATCTATCCGTTCTATCCTATTTATCCTATCTATCATATCTATCTTATCTATCTTATCGATCTAATCTATCTAATCTATCTAATCTATCTAACCTACCTAATCCATCAAATCTATCTATTCTTGCTATTCTAAAGTTTCTATCCATTTCATCTATTCTATCGATTCTATCTATTCTATTTATTCTATCTATTCTATATTTTCTATATATTCTATCTATTTTATTTATTCTATCTATTCTATATATTCTATCTATTATATCTATCCTATCTATTCTATATATTCTATGTATCAAATCGATCGATCGATCCATCGATCGATCTATCTATCTATGTATCTATCTATCTATCCATCCATCCATCTATCTATCTATCCATCCATCGATCTATCTGTCTATCTATTTATCTATATATTTATCTGGTCTATCTAAACTATCTATTCTATTTAATGTATCTATTCTATCTAATCTATCTGATCTATCTAATCTATCTAATCTATCTGATCTATCTAATTTATCTGTTCTATATACTATATCTAATCTATCTAATCTATCTAATCTATCCAATCTATCCAGTCTATCTGATCTATCTGATCTTTCCAAGCTATCCAAGCAATCCAATCTATCTAATCTATCTAATCTATCTAATCTATCTAATCTATTTAATCTATCTAATCTATCTAATCTATCTAATCAAATCAAATCAAATCAAATCAATCAATCAATCTATCTATCTATCTATTCTATTCTATCTATTCTATCTATTCTATCTATTCTATCTATTCTATCTATTCTATCTATTCTATCTATTCTATCTATTCTATCTATCCTATCTATTCTATCGATCTATATCCATCTATCTATATTTATCTATTCTATCTTTATTTTATATATCTAATCTATATATTTATTCTATCTAATCTATCTATCTATCTATCCATCTATCTATATTTATTCTATTTATTTTATATATTCTATCTATATATTTATTCTATCTATTCTATCTATCTATCTATTTATTCTATTTATTCTATCTATTCTATCTATTCTATCTATCAAATCTATCTATCTATCTATCCATCCATCCATCTATCTATCTGTCTACTGAATAGTTTAGTTTAGACAAATTAGATATTTAGATTAGGTTGGACTGGTTCAATATTAGATTTGATTGGCTTATATGGATTAGATTACAAGATATGTATAGACAAGTATGGATTGGGTACACCTAGTTTGAAAGCTTGGGTTAGAAACATGGTTTCCAGCTATAGTACTATGGCATGTTGTTGTTACAATACAAACGTCGGACTGTAGTCAAACAACGCCTCAAAATCATCCGGTATCTTTTCGGATCAACATGTCACCGTTTTTAGCCAGTGGGGCACCTACTTGATCACCACAACCCTGTTACAAAGCACGTGAACACTCACCATGGTGAATTTCGCCAGTTACAATCTGTGGGCTGATCCCCTCCGGGCACCATCACCAAGGAACGGCATCATGACACAGGCCATGACCAAAAGAGCCATCGGCAAAGCAAGGGACTTACGTCGGATCAACGGGGCCATGGCGGGCATTGAACTGCGCTCCCAAAGGATCTCGTCGCGTTGGGACAGGAAGTCGAGTTGGTTGAGCAGCAGCAAATGCTGCGGTCATGAGACACTGCCCTGCGCACCTGCATTTTAGTTTACAGTACAGCACCTCCATGTTGGTCCATGTTTGTTCCCATCTTTTTGTTTTGGTGTATATATATATATATATGCACATGTATATGATTATGTCGTGTTTGGTATTGGGGGATTCATGCTGTATTTGGCAAATAAAGCCTCATGGGGACAAACAAAAATATCTTTTCCATCCTTTTTCTATGGGATTCTCTGGGTATACCAACCCCAAGGTTTCCATCATGGCACATATCTAGCCGGACTGGTCAATCCAAATGCCACCCTAATCCACTGGATTTTGGGGCGTGTTGATGCCTGATTTCCAGACACACCAACTTTTTGTCGATCAATGCAATGGACAGGGCATATTCCAGGAACCTCGCTGGATTATTTCAATATAATTCATGTATAGTCTGTAGTTATTAGTTATTGACCACTTGCTATGCTTACGATGGGCTATCCCCATTGGATTCTCCTACAAGATGGCTGGGATTGTAACTCCTAAAACTAATTAAGGACATTTTCAGGTTACATATCATGAAATTCCATCCCATGTTTTTTTTTCTGTCAAGGGCTATCGGCTATTTTTCTGTGGCACCGCCCTGTGGTGACATCCTCACAAGACGCCCGAGCGTCCATTGACCTTCCTGCTTGGCGGCCACCGAGCGCGTCGCAAAGCTGTTGCCGTCGCGGATGCGACGCACGTCCTGTGAGAAATCGCTGCACATCAATAAAAAAGCTGTGAGGTCAAGGTGCAAAATTTAAAGATTCCACTGGGAATCACTGGGACAGTATTGTATGCATACATATATATATATATATATATAGATAGATAGATATGCATATAGACCATATAGAGATAGATGTATATATATATTTAGATATTTGAAAGAATGTGTATATATATATATAGAGGTATTATGTTTATTTATCTGTCTATCTATAGAATCTATCCATCAATCCATCCATGCATCTACAGCGCCTAAATTTGACTGACAACACCAGGTCTACAAACGTTGAAACTAGATTGGTTTGGGCCAATTGCGGAGGTTTCAACAAAGCAATGTCAAAAGTGGATGGATTGGGGCCCAATTTTCAGGGTTCAACAATGAATTTGAGGATTTGACCACCACAAATGATGGACTTAATCAAATCATATGGGGAGTCGATTTTCATATGCCAGCATACATACGAAAACAATATTGATTTGAGAGATTTACGGTAGTAAATCACAACAAAACAAATAATAACAATATTACTATATACGTTACATACATTGGCAATTACATAGACACACATATTATATATATTATATATATAGTCTGTATACGCACGTATATAGAAATATCACACACACATATATATATATATATATTATATTTACATTCACCACAAATATGTATATATATATATATACATACAAACATGTACATCTGTGTATATATATATATATAGTCATTAAAAAAAAGAAACTCGCAGATTTGCGCCAAGCCACTTTCTCGATCTTTATATAGCCACCAGTCTTGGAGAGGAATTGCATATGGCATAACCGATTCAACCGGTGGATTCAGAGTACCCCCATCAAACCTTGGAACCTACCCAAAACAACGACAGTCTTGGCCTGACCAATCGGAGTAAGACTCACAATACGTCGCAATCAAGAAGCTGTAATGATAGTAGTCTATGATACAATAGGTATTATGAGTCATATGATACAATAGGTATTATTATAATACCTATGTTGCAATGTCGGATACAATAGTCATGCCCATCCTGGGACCCCTTGCGTATATGATGGGATGGTCCGGCTGACCAGCCCTCACAAAGTAAGCATGTAAACCTCGGTTAATCTGGAAGGAATATGGGGGGCCAACAGCAGTCCGGGGGTATGTGGCCAAAAAGGGGTTACAGTTATATACAGTAACATACAGTAAGTCTTCAACATGGACCATGCTGAAGGACTTGCAGAATGAGAATGGAGTTGTTTAAAGAATCATGCGACGGATGTTTCCATGACAAACAGCCGCAAAGCAAAGCCGTTGCAAGCAAAAAAGCAATATCTCAATATCTATGCCAAAGTATTTGTAGTCTGGAAAGCAAGACGAACTTCTACATTTACCCTTATACATCCTATCCAATATTTATATTGGTGGGTGTAGTTGAGCCAAAAAAAAACTATACTATTCCATGATACTGGTTGGCACAAAGGCCTACCTACCTATTATGGGCATTATTTAAATATATATATATATATCATTATATATATATATATCTATCTATTGATTTGTCCCCAATTAACAAGTTACTACTGCATGACGCCCTATAGTATATAAAGTATAATAACAGCCCAACCAGGTTATATGTTCATGGCTAAGTGGGCATGTCGAACAGGCTCCAGGTCGCTACCAAGCAGCTATGTACGGAGAGCCCGTCTACCTGGGATGCTCCCCTGGGGATCTTCTGGGAATATAGTGGGAACAGAACCACCTAGAAATGATGATAAATCATGATACCCTCTGGTAAACAAACGTAACTATGGAAAGATCCACCATTTTAAGTTTTAATGGGTAAACCCACTATAAATGGCAATGTTCAATAGCTATGTTAGTTTACCAAAGGGTAAATCTGAGTACAACAAATAGATCATTAAGCTGAAATAAGGCTATATTGGGATAATTCCTCTTACTATCCAGCATTTCAGTGAGGTCTTAGTGAGGCCGCTATCATTTACTAACATAAATTGTGATATTTACAGGGATTCTCAACCTGTTATTCCATGAGCTACTAGTTGGTGAATAGGTATTCCCAGCTGACGATGGGAAACTCCAACATATTGTGTAGGATACCCCCCCACAATCATCAAGCAAAAGGGGCTTTGAACACTGCTCCATTGGGAAACCCCCAATCCATCAAGGAGCTTCGTGGCACTTCATGGCTTGTTACACCGACTTTGTTGAATGAATTGGCATTTGTTCCTGTAAACACACTAAGTGGGGCAACAAGCGGCTGGATGCTACGCAGCCTTTTCACTACAAACACACTCGTGAGCCTTCGTCATGGCCCGGCAAAAGGTTTGATGTGATATGGGACAAGCTCAAGCTGTACAGTTCACACACCTCAAATTCTATTTTGAGCTTGTCCAATTGGAAAAGGCAGACTGGTGGATCTGATGTTTCCCCACCAGCTGCGTACATCGAAAATCACCTTGGTCAGGATATCTGCCATCTGACTCCCTGTTGGGACCCATCGGAGCGTCTTCCCACCGATGATGCGACTGCCCCACCACTGCGCCTCTTCATTGACCATTTTCCGAAGTGCTGTGATGTCGACGACCAGCCTCTTCTCGCTAGGCGCCTTTGGTCCTCCAAGGCGATGGACGCTGTCATACAGCGACTTGCAGTCTGTCATGGAAACGATAGGGAAGAGTTTCCGGGCCTCTGCTTCTTGAGCTTTTGCAGGATCAGGCGAAAGGACGCCGGCCACGAAAGAGCGGAATGCCAATGCTTCCTCCCAACCCTCAAGGCCTGCCATCGTCTCGGCAGCAAAGGTGCTCCTACACACGCGAGGGCATGCGTGGGACTTCCAGCCCACAATCGCCATGGGACAGTCTTTTGCTCCAAGGGCCTGCCGGGAGGTTACCACCAGGAGGTGTCCAAGTTGGGAATAGACACCTTGTCCCTCAGAGGCGATCACATCCTCATGGTCGTCGAGGTCCAGGTCCATAGGGGCATTCGCCCATGCCGCGTCGTGGTAGACCATGAGCATGAGGTCATCAAAGTTGTCCGCCAGCTTGACGAACTTGAGCGGCTCATCCTTGCCCATCTGCGCCATCTTCACCAGGCGGTTGGTCAGCTTCACGTCCTCGTAGGTTGGGCTTCTCTGCTTCCTCTGCGACAGGGACACGCCGGCCTGCAAGTCAGGTCGGGTCTGCGAGGCCAACCAGGACAGAGCGCCGATGGTGCTCATGTTGTCCTGGGCGGTCACCTGGTCTGCTTGACTGCTAGGTGCCACGTCCTTCGGCATCTCCACTGTCTCCAGCCTCGCTTTGACATAGGATGTCTGATGAAGTTCAATGCACTCCTCAGACTGTTTGATCGTGGCTCCAGTGTAGTCGAAGGTACCTGATTCCCACTCTGAGATGGGGAAGATCTTCGACAAAGCTTGTTGGAGTTGTGCCATTTCTGCTGGGGGTGCTGCCACCAAGAGGTCGTCCACATGCGTGATGAGAGCTCCTCGAAGTTGTCCCTGAGGATCGCGAAGAGGTAGAAAACAAGGATCGTATTCGTGATGAAATAGTCGTAGTTCCACCTCGTTGACCATGATCTTCAGGTTGCACAACTCCTTGGCCAACTTGTCCCACCAGAGCCTTGGCGAATTTGAAAGCCCGAAGACCCCTTTGACAATCTCAATTAAGGAGTTTGGCAATACCCCTGGCAGTCCACGTTTCGGCACCTCAAAGTAAAGGCCCCTCTTGGATTCGATGCCGTTGAGAAAGGCAGCCTCAACATCTCCAGCTGCCAGCAGCCATCCGAACTGCGCGGCCAGGAAGAGAAGTGTGGTCAGCGAACATCTCGAAGCTGTGGGTGCTTCTGTCGAAACTGTTCCATGTCGGAGATCAGGATCTCGATGTCCTCCCACACATAGCCGCGCTTTTGCCTTTGGCCCCACCGAAGGGTCTTCCCTTCGCTTTGCAGCATTCTTGTCTCTGTATGCAAATCTGGCACTTAAGATCCGGTTCTTGGGGACCTTGTCGCGGAGAATCTCAGCATCTTCTGGTGGATGTACCCTGACAGCCTCATACTTGAGGTGTTCCTTCCATTGCTTGTCCTCAGCCTCGATGTAAAGTTGTCTTTCGGCTGTGGGTATATCATCCCATTTGATCTCCTTGTCGACCTGCTTGATTGCTGATTTTGGCACTCGCCGTTCTGCGACCAAGGCCTGCCGAGCTGGCCCCGCACTGCTAGAGGCTTCCACCTCCTTGTCCAAGAGCTCCTCAAAGTCAGAGTCAGGCACAGGTGGAAGGGGACGAGGACGAACTCCTTGTTCTTCTCCACCTGGTGGTACTGGTCTCTTGTGCATCCTCACAGTTCCCTTTTCCCTGACCCGACGCTCGGGGACAGTCTCGTAGTTCACCAGTCTCTTTGGGTAGACGGGTGCTGTTGCGTCAGCAAAGGCTTCCTCGTCGTCCTCACTGTCATCAAGGCGGAGTGCCAATCTCATCAGATCTTCCTTGACAGCTCTCGTCTGGAAAGCTGTTCCAAGCTCTTCTGATTCTGCAGGTCGGAGGTGTTCGGCGGCACAAAGGACACAACGGCCGCCCCTCGATACCCAGTACGAGGGTCCCTCTTTTCCCACGACCACTCCAGGTCCAATCCACTCACCTTTATTCTGTCGGTGTCTGGCAACACCCTTGGCTGTCTTGTCCACCCTGAAGATGTACACATAGTCTCCAGCCTCGAAGATCTCATTGTTGGTCCTCGGCCTACCGAGTACCGCTCTCTTCAGGGCGTCATCAGCCTGAGACTGTATGAATGCTTGTCTAGCGGCCTGTCTGATAGTTTGCTTCCGCCGCCAGACCTCATCTGGTGATCTCAGTTCTTCTCTTTCATACAATCCATTCTCCTCGTCCAGGAACCCGTCACCTGTGCGGGGTTGAGATCCGAACAGCCATTGGGCAGGTGAGTAGCCATGCTTCCTTCTCAAGTTGTTCTTTGCTGCGGCTACCATCGCCAGGGTATACTCAGCCTCGTCTGCAGAGGGCATAGAGTGAGTCACAGTTCGATCCCACATAGCGCGGAACCATTCTCCCTGCCGTTCAACTGCTCCAGCTTGCCAGTGAGCCTGGCCTGCAATGTATTTCACATGCGTACCTCCCATCTCGATGCCGTCCGTGAACTCCTTGATGAAGCCCCGTTCCTGATCGCAGGCCAGTCTAAGTGGCGGACCAGCCCATGAAAGCCAGCAGTCGGTGAACGTCCTCAGCAAGTCCGCCGACTTACGGCCTTGAAGCTTCTTGACCACGTGGTAGCCCGTCGCGAGGTCCAGCACCGAGAGAACGGACACCTTGGTGTTGTCATGTAGGTAGAGGTTGAGTGTGTCCACCGCCACCTCCTGGTTGAACTCAAGCGGCCGCACCAACTTCGCCGGTCTCCTGGTGCCGGGGTTCGACAATCTTGCACAAGAGCTGCACCTGATAGACTGGGCAGCTTTGACGGCACCTTCCGAGGCCCCAGATAGCTTCAGGTGCCTAGCCAGATCATGGTTGGAAGGGTGCCCGAGATTCTGATGGATCCGCCATAGAGCTCGAGCAAGGGGTTGAGGTACGTGTGCAGGTAGTTCAATGCCAGACATCTTCTGCTTCATCTTTCCAGCCTCCTCACCGTCCTCAGCCTCATTCACTGCGTAGGCATCCCAGGTCTTGCCTCGGGGATCATCTCTTCCAACCCAAACGCTCCTCTCTTGGGCTTTAAAACCCTGCATCACTGCTCGGCAAAATGCCGGTGTATAGACCCCAGCTGACTTGGTGTTCCTCCCTTCTGTCGGGGTGTGTTCATGGTTACCTGGGCAGCTTCTGTTCATCCCAATCAGCAGGTTTGGGTGAGAGGCAGCAATGCGGGTTGGTTTCCTGAGCCTACCACCATCCGTGGTGGCCCTCAGGTCATAACAGCACATGTCGATGTCGGAGTATACCATCAGGTCGCTATCCATGAGACCCTCCATTGCGTGGTCATCCCAAAGGTCAGAGGAACGAGGGTGCTCAAACATCACCTCTCCTCCATTGGCGATCTGGTTCCAGGCACACTCCACTGCGAAGTGCACCAACTCCCTCTGCTTCTTCCTCTCTCTCCTCAGCTGTTGCTTCCTCTGTGCAAAGTTGAGCCTCTGCCACTGGGACCACTTGGTACATGGCAGGGCCACCCACAGCAGCGCTGGTTTCTTGTAGTTCAAGTCATCGAAGACGCTCTCCTGCTGAAGGCGATCAAAAAGATCATGGCCTAGAAGGATGTCTCGCGGCTCCAAGACGTTGTAGCCTCGTCTTGCGAACTCGGCTGTGAGGTGAGCCGATCCAGAGCTCAAGAAGAGCTATCGGCTCCCGTTTGCCCTGGAGGGTATTGGGGCCAAGCACCGCCTTGCACAGGTCCTTAGCCGGCTCCACGACTGCTTCATGTAGTTCTGCCGCAATTGGAGTGGCACATGCCAACAAAGTCGTTGACAGGCACAACAGGGCCCGATGGACCCATCCTTTAACCTTCTTCTTCTGATTCCGCCTCATCTTCTTCGATGGAAGATTCTTCACGTCCTCATAGTCCACAGGATACCTGAGCTTCACCTTAGGCACTCCAGTCTTCTCCTCAAACTCGTACTCGTCGAGGTCGATGTAGTCGGACTCCTCAGTCTCCTCAACGTCGAACTCCTCCGCAGGCACGTAGGGCTCGTCAATGACGTAGGGCTCCTCAGAAGTGTCCAAGATGTCAGAGGCGGTGATCTTGTCCGTGGTCAGTCCTCCTTGAAGGGGGGCTTTCATCTTCTTCTTGATGTTGTGGAGCTCCTTCAACTTCGCCCAATGGGCTCTCTTCTTCATCCACGTCCGGGAGTGCTGAACTTGGGACTCTCCTCCAGTCCCGCCTCCAACCTCTTCTTCTCCGCTTCCTTGGCTGCCTTCATGATGTGAAGGCGAGTCTCCATGTCCTTGATCTCCTCGTCCAGCGAAGCCTCCGCCTCTGACACCATGGTGTAGCTGCTCGAATCCTCTGGCATCGTCCTCGTCCTCGACACTCGTTGTTGTTTCTTCCCGTCGCCCTTGACCTTCGCCTTGGCCTTGGGCAACGCACTCTCTGGCACCGGCAATGAGGGAGATTGCTCGGGATCCCCACTGCCCGAGGCGGCTCCAGTTGGAGGGGGCCTCGTCTTGCGGGCTTGTGCCCATCGTGCCAGTCGTGCCAGGTCGGGGCTGTGTTGCGGATTGGCTGCAACCTCCCGCATCGTCCACTCCAGGTACTCTTGGTTCACCTCCTTGTACATGTACCCCTTGTAGGACCCGAAACAGACCTTCTCTGTGTCCTCTGGTGGGGTGTTCTCCCTCAACATTCTCATAAGCAGTCCCCGTGTCGGTTTGCGGGGAAGTGGAAGTCCCTCCTCCAGGCACTTCGCGGTCAGGTCCTGCAGGCACATGTGCGTGATCCCCTTCGTCTTGTGGCTCTGGTCTCCCTGCAGGTCCATCTTCTCGATCAGCAAGGAGCGCAACTCTGGCACTGTCCAGTTCGGTCGGACAGGGCACCCCATCTTCACCAGCTCGTCGGCCAGCTCGTCCCGCTTCATCTTCCATGGCGACTTGGTGGTCTGCTGGGACATCCGGGGGGTCTCGAATTGGTCGGTCGTGAGCTTGCTCCGTCGCACGTCGACGACGAAAACGGCTGCGGCCAATCCACAAAAACTCTGCCATTGGAGCATGCTCATGTTGCCAAAGATGTTCAAGCCGAAGGGTGTGACCACTACCATGACACGGTATGCATGTTGATTCACGTACTTCATGAAGACTGCACAGCAACTGCTTCTTGAGGTTGGCATCACCTGTGTTCCACCTATTTGGATCAAAGCACGTTCTCCTTGGAGTGATGTGGATTCTAAAAAGGTTGTCTTCCGTCTCAATCCAGAAATCCCTTGACAAAGCTTGTTCCCTCCACCAATGAAGAAAAGGTTCAGGGGGTAGTAAATCCCTAGTAAGCATCTCATGAACGTGCCCTCGAACTTTGGGATAAAATAGTGAAAACCCACCCCCAGATGCTGCACTCGCTATGTATGCTTCCACCGCTCCGTGTGCCAGGTCCGGCACGTGCACTTCGGTGACACTCCAATCGACCTTTTCAGGCCAAGATGGGACCTCAGGTCCAAAATCAACGGCATCAACTCGAGGGTGCCCAGTGGAGGTGAAACCTAAGGCCACACCCTTCAGGTCCAGCTTCGTGAAGTCTGCCATGTTCTCCTCCATCATGTAGCGCATCCCCAAAGAAGCCAACACCGGTCGGCTCAAGAGCAAAGGCACGTTGGCGGCCACCACGGAGATCTTGATCATGAACCACCTTCCCCTCAGTGCCAGCCAACTCACAATGGCACGTCGAGAGGGGTAGATGGTCGGCCCACCAAACTTGAAGTTCTCCTCCTGCTCGATCATGATGTAGGGGATCTTCTCCTGCTTGAGCTTCTCCAAGTAGCGCCTCGCCCAAGAAGATCCTGCCAAAGTCCTGCTGCAAGCACAGTCCACGATGGTCTCCAGGCCCTCGTTGTCCGTGTAGAAGACGACATGGGTGGTGTGCGTAGATCCCGGTTGAGGTTTGCCTTTGTGTTTCGGACACTCGGGGTCCTTGTGCCAGTGGCCCTTCTTTCCACAAGCTGAGCAATAGGATCTCGCCTTCGCCAACTGCAAGGCCTCCTCCTTCGACTTCCCAGACAAGGCTCCTCTCGCCTTCAGGACGTCGTTGTACTTGGTCTTGGCATTCTTGAAAGCGACGTAGGCCTCATGCGTCTCTGTGTCGCCCTCGTCAGGGATGTCGTCCTCTTCCGGGGTCTCGTCATCGTCCAAGTCCTCGTCAAAGTCAGGGGCCTCGTCCAACTCCGTGCATAGTGCCTGCTGGTTCTTCTTGTTGTGGGCATGCTTGTTGTCGGTCTTGTGCGGGTTTTCCCACAACCTGCGGTTCATCCTGTCCTGGACGACAGCAGCCTCTTGCAACTTGGTCAGGTCGTACTGGTTGTTCACGGACGACAGCAAACTGAGCTCCGTCGTGTTGTCAAGACGGAGCTTGTCCACATACCACCATGAGCTGCAAACTCCTGGAAGTTGGCACCCCACCTCACGTAGCTTCGACAGGTGCCTGTCGAACTCTCCATTGAAGTCCCGGATGTCCTGGTTCTGGGTCCTCTTGAAGTACTTGAAGAAGTCGCTCATGTACTTCCCGGCTTTGACCACCTCTTTGTCCAGGTACCGCTGGGTGATCCACTCCACGAAGCGGTTGACGCCGTCCACGTGGTCCAGCAGGGAGACGTCAAGGTCTTCCGCGTCCCTCCAAGCCTTCCCTGTGAGTCCATTATAGAGGACAAGTGCTTGTTTGTTTGGTTTCAACCTCGTGACTCTCCTCCAGGCCTCTATCTTCCTAAGATAGCTCCTAGTCTTGGACCCTTCTTTATCCTCTTCACCAGTAAACTCCGGAACCACTATCTTGTCGCTAGCTCCCCCAACCCTTTCATCTACTGCATCATCACGTTGGCTCCCCAAAGAACTTCGGTTCCATGGATCTTTCCAAGCATTCCAAGGGTCAGTGGACTTGGTACCCCTCCTAGAGGTGTCTTCCCGGCTAGCATGTTCAGTAGTATCCCCACTATAGTCATTGGCATCCCCAGTAGAAGGTGCATGGCTCCCACTCCATCCAGCCCATCTGCCGGTATTCCACAGCTGCCACTCCTCCTCAGTCCAGCGTTGCCACTGGTGCTGCGAGCTCGGAGTCCCCCCAGGTAGTCCAGGTTCTTCCCGACTATCGCCAACGGACTCAGCGCCACTACAAGCACCACTTTCGGCAGGCTGCTCTGGAGAAGGCATTCTGCACCTCCCACAACGCCAATCACCACGCCACCACTATGGCTGACAGGCCCGGGTTAAACCGCCCCCCGGGTAGGCTCCGCTACCAATGTAAACACACTAAGTGGGGCAACAAGCGGCTGGATGCTACGCAGCCTTTTCACTACAAACACACTCGTGAGCCTTCGTCATGGCCCGGCAAAAGGTTTGATGTGATATGGGACAAGCTCAAGCTGTACAGTTCACAGTTCCTATACATACTATACAGTTATACCATCCCATGCCGCTGTTGCCCATTGTCACTAGCTCGCAACCCAAACAGTTGAAATAATGAACCGCTGGGGAATCTTCTAAACCGAAATGTATATGAATTGGTGAAGCACGCATTACAGTGATTTCCAGTGTGTCCTGTTTTTGACCAGAGGGGACACTCTGGTAAACATACAAAAGCCATAGAAATAGTGGAATTTCCCATTAAAAATTGTGATTTTCCATAGTTATGTTAGTTTACCAGAGGGTACTGCTTGAGGATCATTGGTTTCCCATGTGATTTTCCATAATCTTCCCGCAATGAATTATCTATACTTACCCATCTTTTCTCCAAAGTCCCAATATTTGCCCATCGTTTCCCCATTTGTTCCAATTCATTTCCCAAACAATATCCATCCCTCTCCCAGATTTCCCCCATATAATATGTGTTTCCATAAAGTTCCCGTAAATTTCCAATACCATCCGGTAATTTAGCTATTGAAAACGGTGATCTACAGCTGGTTGACCCTGTTTACTCATTATTCGAATGGTGATTTTCCATAGCTAGGTTAGTCATAACCAGAGGCTATAAACCCACCATTGTTGTGTGGTAACGATTAAGATGTGGAGTTTACCCATCTGATCCGATCGAGACTCCACCGTCTGACTGGCCGCAGCGAGAGCCTGTCCAAGGACCTGCGGTCTGCCGGAGCTGGATGGTTTATGGATGGTTTATGGAGAATCCTATTCAACTAGTAGATTTAGTAGATGATGAAGATGATGAAGATGATGATGATGATAATGATGAAGATGATGATGAAGATGATGAAGATGATGATGATGAAGATGATGATGATGAAGATGATGAATATGATGATGATGATGAAGATGATGAAAATGATGATGATGATGATGAAGATGATGATGATGAAGATGATGATGATGAATATGGTGATGATGATGATGATGAAGATGAAGATGATGAAGATGATGATCATGATGAAGAAGATAATGATGATGAAGAAGATGATGAAGATGAAGATGATGATGATGATGATAATGATAATGATGATGATGATGAAGATGATGAAGATGATGATGATGATGAAAATGATGATGATGAAGATGATGAAGATGATGATGATGAAGATGATGATGAAAATGATGATGATGATGAAGATGATGATGATGATGAAGATGATGAAGATGATGATGATGAAGATGATGAAGATGATGATGATGATGATGAATATGATGATGATGATGAAGATGATGATGATGATGATGATGAAGATGATGATGATGAAGATGATGATGAAGATGATGATGAAAATGATGATGATGATGATGAAGATGCTGATGATAATGATGATGATGATGAATATGATGATGATGATGAAGATGATGAAGATGATGATGATGATGAAGATGATGATGATGAAGATGATGAAGATGATGATGATGATGAAGATGATGATGATGATGAAGATGATGATGATGATGAAGATGAAAATCATGATGATGATGATGAAGAATAAGAATAAGAAGATGATGATGATGATGAAGATGATGATGATGAAGATGATGATGATGATGATGATGAAGATGCTGATGATAATGATGATGATGATGATGATGATGATGACGATGATGAAGATGATGATGATGATGATCATGATATCCCCTGCCAACTGTTCGCTACTAAATGTCTTTTTGGCAAGAAAATACTTATTGCCATGATCCACTTGTTTGTGTACAATGGTTTCTTTTCTCATCATCATTCATCAACCAACTCAACAGGAACATCAACCAGTAGCATTTTTGTTGCCAGCAAATTTCACCAACCTTGCCAACCCCCCCGAAACCCGGTTTCCCATAGATAAGAATCACCCGATCACATCCCTTCACCATGTGCTTGTTGATGGATGTTGATGAATGTTGATGGTTAGCCCATCGAGGCCTGACCACCAAAGACCGCCCGTGCCATGGGCCAGGGCTTCTTGAGATTTTCCGGCCGTGCCAAGAAGAGGTTCCTGGTGACATGGCATGGTGGTGAGAAACTCACCTAAGTTGGCAAATGTTGGCAAATGCAGTTTTTCATGAACTAACTTTTAGGGATATAAATTATAAATATGATATAATCTCCAATAGCTACTTCAAAAAAAATGATGTTCCAAAAGCCCAAAGCAAGAGGTTCAAGCCAACCCTTGGATACCGGCCCCATCCGGCCCCACTAAGCCCAGCATCGGGTCGATCTTATCCAGAACGATGGCCTCAGCTGAAGTTGAAGGGACCCAAACCGCGAGCTCCGGCTTCCAAGTTACTTGGTCTGGAGATCAATCTTATGGGGTCGTGTTATCATATATTAATATATAAATACATATATATATATATATACATATTAATACATATATGCGTGAAGTTTCGTGAAATTGATGGAAACGGTGGACAATTGCCTCAGAATTGCACTTTCACGAGCAAAAAACGAAAGACTAGCCATCGGCACCTCGAAGTGGTGTGGCGGAGGACCGCCAGGGGCGCCTTTCTTCCCGGCATTGTTTGCCACAATTTCACTTGCGTCGAAGGAGGTGGGCCATCTGATGTATCATCAGCCATGGCAATGGCATTGTCATTCCTAAAAATCTGCAGTGCATAATATACTGATAGTATGTATAAATATCTATATATATATAACTATTAATTAATTTATCTAATTATTTACTTAATTGATCAAGATAATGACAGTGGCAAACTGCTACAGCTGGTGTTGTGCTGAAGGTCTGAAGTACTGGTCTATAAACAATTCTAAACATAAGGAATGGAACAAAAAATGACATTCAAACGCATCTGACAGCCGACAGCCGCCTGCTTTCTCGTCTTTTTCACTCTCCTCCATCATCAGACCGTGGCGATGCAGATCGTGGCGACCGTGGCTCAAGGATCTACGAAGGAGCCACAGCGAAATGACCAGGGACGAGGCCAAAATGAGCGATGAACTGCCCTGACACTTTCTGTTCTGGGCGACTGAGGTTACAAAAACATGTCTTTGACCCCAACTTGTTACGTCCATGTATATATACATATATATATATTAAAAAAACAAGATGAAGCCCACGAACCCGAATGCTCACACGTATGTTAATGGTACAGATGTCAAAACACATGGTTATGCAGTGACGCACAATACCTTTCTGCAATAGTTTATTTGAACAGTCTTGTACTTGTTCCCTTGTTACCAGTCTGCAGTGTGGAGTGGAAAGTGTAGAGTGTGGAGTGTGAAGTAAGGAGTGTGAAGTAAGGAGTGTGGAGTGTAAAGTGTGGAGTGGGGAGTGTAGAGTGTGTAAAGTGTAGAATGTGGAGTGTAAAGTGTGGAGTATGGAGTGTAAAGTGTAGAGTGTGGAGTGTAGAGTGTGGAGTGTGGAGTGTAGAGTGTGGAGTGAGGAGTGTAAAGTGCAAAGTGTGGAGTGTGGAGTGTAAAGTGAGGAGTGAGGAGTGTAAAGTGTGGAGTGAGGAGTGTAAAGTGTGGAGTGAGGAATGTAAAGTGTGGAGTGTGGAGTGTAGAGTGTGGCGTGTAGTGTGGAGTGTAAAGTGTGGAGTGTGGAGTGTGGAGTGTAAAGTGCAGAGTGTGGAGTGTAAAGTGTGGAGTGTAAAGTGTGGAGTGAGGAGTGTAAAGTGGAAATCGTGGAGTGTAAAGTGTAAAGTGTGGAGTGTAGAGTGTATAGTGTAGAGTGCAAAGTATAGAGTGTGGAGTGTAAAGTGTGGAGTGGGGAGTGTAGAGTGTAAAGTGTGGAGTGTAAAGTGTGGAGTGAGGAGTGTAAAGTGTGGAGTGTAAAGTGTGGAGTGTGGAGTGTTGAGTGGAAAGTGTGGAGTGTGATGTGTGGAGTGCAAAGTGTGGAGTGAGGAGTGTAAAGTGTGGAGTGAGGAGTGTAAAGTGTGGAGTGTGGAGTGTAAAGTGTGGAGTGTGGAGTGAGGAGTGTAAAGTGTGGAGTGTAAAGTGTGGAGTGTGGAGTGTAAAGTGTGGAGTGTGGAGTGTGGAGTGTAAAGTGTGGAGTGTGGAGCGTAAAGTGTGGAGTGTGGAGCGTAAAGTGTAGAGTGTGGAGTCTGGAGTGGAAAGTGTAGAGTGTGGTGTGTAGAGTGTGGAGTGTAAAGTGTGGAGTGTGGAGTGTAAAGTGTGTGAGGAGTGTAAAGTGTGGAGTGTGGAGTGTAAAGTGTGGAGTGTGGAGTGTAAAATGTGGAGTGTGGAGTGTAAAATGTGGAGTGTGAAGTGTGGAGTGTAAAGTGCGGAGTGAGGAGTGTAAAGTGTGGAGTGTGGAGTGTAAAGTGTGGAGTGAGGAGTGTAAAGTGTGGAGCGTAAAGTGTAGAGTGTGGAGTCTGGAGTGGAAAGTGTAGAGTGTGGAGTGTGGAGTGTAAAGTGAGGAGTGTAAAGTGTGGAGTGTGGAGTGAGGAAAGTGCCACGCTTGCCACGCAAAACGACATGACAACCTGCTTGGAAACCTTCGAAAAGGAGAGATTTTGCGGCTTCCCCCATAGACACGACGACGCCACAGGAAAAACCAGAGACCCGAGACGAGACGCATGGATGCAGAAAAACGAGCATTTCGTGCGAGACTTCCTCCAATTTTGACATTTTCAACACGTTAGCAAACAGCTTGGAATGTCACAAAGTGCCACGCCTGCCACGCAAAACGACATGACAACCTGCTTGGACACATTCGAATAGGAGAGGTTTTGCGGCTTCCCCCATTGACACGGCGAAACCACAGGAAAACCAG